CCTCAGCCTCCCAAAGTGCTGGGATTACAGGCATGAGCCACGGCAACTGGCCGGCACTTTACTTTTTACAAAATAAATTAATGTAAACCCAGCTTTGGACACGTTGAATGATGACTCTTACTGCATGTTTGAAGCTCCAATGAACTATCTGTTTAAACAGCTGATACGTCAGGGAAAAAAATCAAGTTTTAACTTTTATGAGGTCTCTTCTGTTTAGTTCACTCCAACTATATGTGTCTGACCTGAGAGTGCTTTATACAGAATGTGTGAGTGAGTAGTTACCTTTCTTCCTGTTGAAACAGAGAGGACTGGAGCCCAGTGGCTGAGAGCTAAGGTCAGAGTTGGGGTAGGTGTGAAGGCCAGCCAGTTCTTCCACTTAGCCCCATGCCTCAGTTTCCCCTCCGTGAAACGTGGCTAATAATACTATGTACATCACACTCACAGGACTATAGGAGGCCACATATGGAGAATACTTAGCTGGGTGCTTGACATAAAACAAGCATCAGCCAACAGTAGCCACAATGATATTGTCACCACGTTTTTCAGCTTGGGTTCCCAGGTGGATACCACTGATATTAGATAACACTGATATTAGACACCACTGTTTTCTGTAGATACCACTGTGATTAGCTAACAGTGAATGTAGACATGAAAGTGCTTCATGAGGTAGACATCAGGCTTCGAACATGCCCCCATCTCCTTTCTCCAACCAGAACCCCTGCGAGGGGGAAATGGAGCAAGTTAAAATACTGTGAAGCTTTGCATTTAGAAACCGGAAAGCAGATGCACAGAGCAGTCTGCCTCTGTGTAAATGCACATTGTAACCGGTTTTCTAACGCAGCCTTTACAAGGATAAATTAAGCAGTTCGTTGACATATCATTATCACATTCTGAAGATAAACAGCCACAGGATCTATGAACTCTCATCATGCAGTTAATTATTCTTGAATTTTTCTGCACTCTTGAAACATATTCTATTTATTTTACCATCCCCCAGGAGCCCTGGTCGCCTTTGTCCCTGCCACACGGCCAGTGGTGTAAAACCTCTGCATCTGTCAGATTTCTCCATGTGGAGCATAATTGCCTGATTTCCATTTGAAAGTACAGCCCTGACATTAAAACAACATAGACCCACCAATGATAACAATGGCTTCCTGACACCTACCAGAGGAGAGGGGGTGAGGGGGCATAATGCAGGAATAAATAAGCGCACGAATGAAGGCTCGCCTTCACAGGGACCAGGTCTGATTTTACAGCTGCCGATGAAGTGTTCCTCGGGAACAAACAAAAAGAATGAAAGAATACAAGAAAAAGAAACCAATAGATTAGGATCCGCGTGAGTCTGTTGGAGCCAGATGGCTCTCTGTGGAGAGCGAGCTGTCCCGCTTTCTCCCAGTAACCCCGACCAGCAGACAGCAAGTCAGCTACACTGGGAGAGAAATGATCTCATTCCTCAGCCTGGCATGTGAGCCGCCTTCTTTCCCTCACACACAACTCGAGCTGAAGGAAAATTGGAAAAGACAGAAAGGGTGAAAAGGAAGGGGCGGGGAAGAATGGCTGGTTGTAAAGAGAAAGCAGGTACTCATAGCCCAGAGCAGTTGTGAGATGCCAGGCTCTGGCCGGCCCCAAGCGTTCCAGAACTGCCTCCAGATGTCCACGAAGGAGAAGGCAGGGAGACAGAGGGGGCACCAGGCACACTCTTATCTCCTCCACCCACATCCCTGAACTTCACCTCCACAATCCAATGTTGCCCAGAAGGCCTGGTGTGTAAAGGGGCTGGGAGGAGGGCGCGGGCTGCTGTAGAAGGCAGGGGTTCAGTCCTGTGCCCCACTGGAAAGGGGCAGTGGGCGGGGTTTTCACTTCTTCCTAATGACAATGTCTGCCTGTCTCTGTGGGCCACAGGCCAGTGAGTCTGTCAGTCCTCAGCCTGCAGGACCAGCCATCTGCTGGGATCCTGGTCTGCCATGCTCCTGAACAGGTGCCCGAGGTGGAGGCAGCTAGCGTGGAGGGGCAGTCAGATGAAACTGACAGGTTGTAGGTGTGGGAGGGCTCCTGTCCTAGAAGACTCTGAGGCTGGGAGGGGCTTGGTCTGGGGTCATTCTTCCTGCCCTGCTGAGCAAAGCATTCATTGCTCATAAATAAGTCTGTTGTCTGGAGTGACAGCCACATGTGGGGCTGGTGGACATCAGACAGACCAATAGATGCTGGTGGTAGAGTCTAACACTTGCAGATGTGTGCAGAGGTGCAGGCCTCCTTCACGCAAATCTGCCTCTGAGTGAGTGTTCACACACCCAGTCTGGTACCAGGGCTCCTGAGGCCTCCAATCCAAGAGAGAACGAAGGTGCCCTTGGGAGTGAGTGCTGGGGGCTCACGGAGCACTTCGTCAGCCTGGCTAGGTTGCCTGGGCACCTGAAGTTTGTCTCCAGCAGTGTTTACTCAAAAGAATAAATAGTAGTTTCCAGGGTGACAGCAAAGGCAGGGAGATGTAGTCATTCATTTACAGCTGGAAACTTATTGAACTCATAAGATATTGAGCAAAATTCTCTTCATTTTCAGCCCAGGATGAGGGCACCTGCTTCACCATTCCTGGCAGTTGTCGGTACAACTAAACATTAAGCTGGCATATGCTATCGGGGCCGAGGAAGTAAAGCAAGCTGCTGGCTGGGGGCTAAAACCACAGGCTCTGGCTTTTCTTCCTTCTAAAAGTGAAACAGAAAGCCACCACCCCACCAGGTAACTGCTTTGCTCTTTAGCTCCCAGGCAATGCTACCGCCTTGCAGGGTTCCTCATTCTGTGTGGGATTCTCACTCACAGCAGAGCTAAGGATTTCAAAGGAAATCGTATCACTAACGTAACAAGAGTGTGGGCTCCATCATCGTTCCTTGCCTCCACTTAAGCAGGGAGATCAGTCACTCAATAGGAGCATTTAAGAAAATTTTAAAATGCCAGCATTTAAGGAGCGTTTACCAAGTGTCGGCCCTGCCTCTAAGTGTTTTGCGTACATTTCCTGTAATCTTCATGACAACTCTATGCGGCATCACTATGGTTCCACTGAACCTTTGACTGAACAAGAGTCCCAGTGGCTGACACCCTGACTCTGGAGGCTCACCTCGTTTTAAAGGGTGGTGGGAAGGTTCCTCAAGGTTCAGTGGAACCATAGTGATTATCCTTATTTTAGAAATGAGATGCCAAGTCCCAGAGATGTTAAGCAACTTTGCCAAAATCACATAGCTGGCCCTGGGTCCATACCACAGGCTTTCCTGCTTCTTTTGATAAATATAGGTAATAACTGTGAGCTTTAGATTTCCTGTTTTGGCTTCTCACCAGTGGTACCATCTTGGGCTGCTAAGTCTCCCTGAGTTCCCATTTCCTCATCTGTCAAGTAGGGACTGGAATAGTGGTTGTAGAGGGTTGCTGCCAGGACCAGAAGCAACGTGTAACATGTGTCCCAGGCAGGGCCAGTGCATGGTTCATGGTTGATGATCCATAAGTGTTAGTACAAATGATCCCCTGATGGTTTGATTTAACAGGTTTTTTCCACTCTACGGTGGGTTTGTTGGGAGGTAATCCTGTAGTGTGTCAAGGAACATCTGAGTTAGGATAGTTTGATTTACAATTTCAATTTCACCACGGGTTTATCAGGATATGAATATTTTATCAGGATATAAACCTGATGCATTTTGGTATTTTCAGCTTGCTGTGGGTTTATCTGGACATAACCCTCATCATAAGTAGAGGAGCATCTGTGGTTATACTACTGTGAGCATTGTTGTTATCTTTGCACTCTTCAGTTTCACTGAATTTTCACACACTCGCATGCGCACATAAAACTGTGAGGTAGGTGGGGCAGCTGTCACTAACCCCACTTTATAGCTGTTGTATCAGATGATGAAGTTGGGCAAGAACCCCCATCTCTTGACTGCGCTTTGTGCTCCGTCTAATCTGAGCATGCTGTTTCCTGCGGGACTGCAGGCCACACCTATCCATTTCTAGACACCAAACATGGTTGCTGTCTAGAAAGATTGGAGCAAGGAATTCAACTCTTGTCACTTGCCCTTTGTTTCCAGGCCCTGGGCTTGGCTGAGGACGGAGCCAGGTCCTGCCTGTGCCCTCCTGGGAATTGCTGAGACAGTTAATGCTTCTTGGAACAAGTGAAGTACTAGCTTAAATGAATCACGAGCTCATGTGTGCCCTTAAGATTTTCTTTATTGTTGAGGTAAAAAATATACTTATTTTCTCATCATCACCAAATGCAAATGCATAGCCCCACCTCATGCCTCGCTTCCCCTAGTTGGGGTGACCTCTGAGAACATATCCAACACTCTTGTTTGCACCTACAGCTGGAAGCAGGAGAGGAAGCGGCCAAGGTCCTGGGTGTCTTGGCTGCGCTCTGCCTTCTTCCCATAACTTTCCTAACTCTGCCTTTCCGGTGATTTTCACATTTTCCCTTCCATTTTACTTTCAGAAAATCTCTGGGGAATGCAGCATTTGTTCTGTTGCTTCACGTAATTCCCAGGGCTGGGAATGAAAATTATTTCCTTTCACAACTTCTGGCTGAGTGCCTTTCACAGCCCAGCTGTGTTCTGGGGTGATTTATAAACTGCAGAGTCCGAGTCTCCTTCCTCCTCCTCCTCCTCCTCCTCCTCCACCTCCTCTTCCTCCTCCTCCTCTTCTTCTTCCTCATTTTCCTCCTCCTCCTCTTCCTCTTCCTCCTCTTCCTCCTCTTCTTCCTCCTTTTCCTCCTCCTCCCTTTCTCCTTCTTAAAGCAAGGTAAGCCTCCAGAGTCAGGGTGTCAACCACTGGGACTCTTGTTCAGTCGAAGGTTCAGTAGATCTCCATCGTGATGAGAGCATGAAACCATTCATTCCTGTTAGAAGAAGACAGAAATAGGCCTCAAGGCCGAACTTATGTCTCTGAGAACAAATTTGACCCAAAATCTCTAAGTTTAGCATTGGCTTTGAACTAAGAACATAAAAGCATATTTTCCAAACTTGTCAGGATTGTGTTTTATTTCTAGACTTGACTCTCAAAGGGATGTTGAGGAAGAGACACAGCTTAGGAAGTTTTGAGCTGAGAAATGAAAAGAAGTCACTTTTCTTTGTTGCCATAGAACTAAGTAAGGGAAAAATTAAGCCCAGGGGTTCACTTAACCTGTTACAGCAAAACACAGAAACCAGATGGCACAGTGTCATTTGCAATGTGATGTGTCTTTGTCGGAACTGAAGGCTGTCGCTGGTCGGCTGCCCTCACGGAGTCCCCGTCTGCCCCTGCACTCCCTGCAGGTATGGTTTCATCAGGAGCTGAAAGAACACAGAGGGGTGATCAAGTGATCAGGCCTCAGACTGTCTCTCAGGCCATGGGGTTCCATCTGGGCCAGACCCTGGGGAACACGTGAAGACACTATGGGCTTCCTTTTCTACTCAGCGTGATCCTGGACAGGAGGAGGTCTTCACAGCCAAGGCCAAACAGCCCAGACAGGCCACTGCCTTGTGGCTGTGTGATTTCTTTGAACTTCCCTGTGCCATCTTTTTGGTCACATCCAAATCTTTGCCTCTGCATAACTCACACAGTAACACCAAGTCTCCTTGTCTTCTGGCCCGTGACTGTCTGTGAATTCTGAGAAGCAGTGTCACGGAGGCTGAAGGTCAGAGCCAGCATTGCCACTGCTTGCCCTGAAACCCTGGATGAGTTACTGAAGCTCTCTGGGCCTCAGTTTTCCTCATCTGACAAATGGAGAAATAACATCTACCTCCCAGGGTTGTTACGATCATTAAACTAGATGATTTATACCAAGTGATTCACACAATGCCCCACAGAGCACAAACCCAAAGATGCCAATGAGTATTTCTAAGCATGGTAGGAAGCCCAGGGAGAAGGCCCTGGAGAAGAACTGCCTCCAGGACTGTGAGCCAAGGCGGCAGGGAGAGAACAGAATCAGAAAAGGAATGAGATAGAGGCCGGGTAGAGGACACTGAATCCATCTCCTACCACATTCCCTGTGGTTTCCTTTGGAAGGGCAGCGTCTGAGATTTTCAAGTCATATATCATTCCCATTTCCTTTTTTAAAAATATGAATCATTGTCCCAGAGACATTCAAGTTCAGAGGTGCATGTGTTAGGTCTGAGGCTCATGTATGTCTGGTGTTCTAGAAAGCAGGAAATTAAGAGAGGCTCCTCCTGTCTTCAGCCTTCTCTTCCCAAAATAATGGATGACTTTTTTTCACGATTATGGGCTGTTAGCACCTCAGACTTCTTCCTGAACCTGGATTAGTGATTGGTTTTAAGATCCTAAGAGCACAAACGATTAGACTGAAACAGGCTCCATTCGCTAATGTGCTGCTCATTGAGGAATGTTAGGTGATAACATACATGTGGAAAATGTGGAGCTGAGACCTCTCCCCCGTCTCATCTCAGTCTCAGGCCCAAGATGAGGTGAAAACTGGAGAGAGGGCCCTGGAACAAAGAAAGGGGGGGTTCCTGGGACATGTAGGGCCATGTCACTGAGACAACTTCCAGCAAGGATGTACAGGAAGGGTTTAGTTCACACATAGATTGGGACCAATCTGAAAAAGAATCAAGGTTCGTGAAACTCTCAATTGCAACATTTTGTAGGGTATGGCCCACCAGAGTTAGCTAAGTGCAGATGCCATTAGCTAGCTATTGGTTCATCTGATTTCTATTACATATTCTCTCTCTTGCTCTCTGACATACACACACACACACACACACACATACAAACACACACGACTGAATTATATTCAGCAGTATTTTATGCTCTTTGGAAATGGTTACTTATTCAGATATAGGGTGTTTTGTTTTTGATTTTTGCTGATTCTCTACTATTTTTATTATTCCCAATACCCTCAGCTCTTTCATTTTGAATTATGGAGTTATTGCAGTATTATAGTTTTTTGAGAGGTAAAAGTTATTATAATTAGAACTAAATTTTTCAAAAATGGAAACCTGCAGGTTAAATTATAAGGATAGCGTATTTGTGAAATTTGGGTTCCATTTTGTTTTGCCATCATAGAAAATAGAGAAAAAAATGAGTTGGTTACAGATGGAAGTGTAATTTTTTCTGTTGAGAAGACCTGGTTGTCGGCCTCCACATCCATCGCCACTCATCAGCACTACAAAGGGCAACTGAACTCTCCCCTCTAACACTCCTCTGTGCCCCAGTTTCTCCAGATGTGAAACAACACTACACAACATATCTGTCTCCCCCTCAACTCATAGAAATGTCATAAGAATATTTGAGAGAAAAAAAATCTCCACAAAACAGTGTTGTGATCCCAGAACTTATTTGTTTTGTGTCTTTGTGATTGTATGAAAAGTGGAGGCTACTCCAGTAAAAGGGAAAACTGAGCTGGAAAGGGCTGGAATTGCTAAAATGAGCAGGAACACGGTAAAGGAAACCATTCCCTGTACCCAGCAGCTGTCAGGCTGTGTTCATGATCTGCTCGTTTCCTGAGAGCACCATGATTTCTTTGTAACAAGAGAAATAATCTGTTTTCTGGCTTAACCTCTCATATGGTATTTTGGAAATAAGCTCAACACTAAGAAATAATATTTTACAGATCTCTTAGTCTCCTCTTTATTCAACACTCTTTAATTTCCCCCTCTCCTTGCAATTTCTCTTCTCAAAAATGTAGCTTTTCAGCATCGATTCATCTCTGCTGCCTCATAGCGGATTTTTCCTCTCTTCTAGCCTGGCTGTTTTTCATTTTTCTCACTTGTATCTTGACTGGATCTTCCATCTCCTCCATTTCCACTCCTATTTCCTTTAAAATTCATTTTCATCTTTCCATTTTATCTCCCTAAAGAGAGAACAGACAACAGACAGAGAGGACAACCAGCTAGGATTGTGCTGAGAAAATGAACTGCACAGCACATTGAAAGTTGGACAGGCCAAACCTGACTCCATCAATTTGAGTTGATGCCTCTGACAATTCAAACAAGACTTGGTCAGCACAGAATTGCAAGGCTGTCTTGGAATTTTCACACATGTATGTTTGACATTCTACTCCAATTCAGTTCCACAATCCAGATGGTGGAAGAATTTTGTTTACTTGAGACGAATTCTCATCCATCATCTTTCGTTCCCACAAGATCATTGCTCCAGACCAGCCCCAAGGACTGCCTCAGAGTACCATCATTTTGTTACAGTTAATGCTCATTGTTGTGCACAGTTGAGAAATGCAGCCTTCTGGTTAATTACATTTTCTGGTTAGTAGAAATGACAAGGTACATCTTCCATGGGTTACTGACATCTAGACACCTAGGATACTCTAAACACCAAAGCTAACTTGAACGGGTTTAGACTTTCTTGGAAAATTTAGAGGAAACTTCAGGACTCATGAGACATCAGGGGTCCCAAAGACGTGTTGTAGATGTGGAGAGTATTAAGAAAACTGGGATTTTCATCTGATACCATGTAAAATTGCTTTGAGGGTATGCAATAGCACAGGTCACATGGGAAACAAGGGTACCATGTGAAACGCATTATATCAGTTTAAAATTTTCCACTTTGGGAGGCTGAGGGCCGAGGTGGGTGGATCATGAGGTCAGGAGATCGAGACCATCCTGGCTAACATGGTGAAACTCCACCTCTACTAAAAATAATACAAAAAATTAGCCAGCCGTGGTGGCACACACCTGTAGTCCCAGCTACTCAGGAGGCTGAGGCAGAAGAATCGCTTGAATCTGGGATGTGGAGGTTGCAGTGAGCTGAAATTGTGCCCTGATGGCTTCACCTAACCCATGGCTTCAACCCATCCTGGTCCTTGGCAGCACAGGGCTTGTGCCACCATCCCACCTCTCTCCCCACCCCCACGTGGTTCTATGTGGTCTCCACTTGTGCAGAGCCCTGTATCCCTCCCACTTACTTCCACCTCAGTTTTCCCAGCATTCACCCCCATCCTAGAAAAAGGGCAGGGGAAATGTGAACACAGAAAAGAGACACAAATTCCAAAAATGAAATTTTAGGGGAAACTCTAACAGCAAGTGTAGACTTCTACCCTAGTGATACAAAGAATGCAATGGCATTTCCAGGATGAAAGGAGTGGTATTCTAGGATCATCCTGCCAATTTCCATCCATGGGCAAAAGAGGCCATGCCATGCAGGAAATAAATTCCCAGCTTCCAGAAGTCCCCATGTTTTCAAGAGACCAGAGCAGGTCCTTGCCTATTCTCATTTCTGCTGTCATGTGCACCTTGTCTAAGAGGTTTTCCAAGTCCCAGTATGTGTTTCAGCATCACTTGTGCACACTGTCACTCTGGAGCGCCCTGCACAAGGCTGGGAGCCTGACTTCCCGTGTAGATTCCTCCGCCCCATTTGTCTAAAGCTCTTTGCAACAGATTATACCTTAAGAAAAATAGCACCTCTGCAGTACCTCAGTACCTCTTACAGTTTTGTGTTAAGACCCATATATTTGTTAAGCGAATGAATGCCCAACTGACTCAGCGTTCGCACACCCAACACTCAGATGCTGTTTTCAGATCTCATCTACTTCTTAAAGCAACCCTGTGAATCCTGTCTTCAGGATGAGAAAAATGATGTGAAGAGGATTGCCTGAAGTGACACACAGGTCACTGAATGCCAGGACCTGGAATTCTGATTTCAGTCTAACACGCTTTCCATCATGATGGTCATCCTCAAGGCGGCTGGCTCATCAGAATCCCCTATAAAGTTGGTTAACGAACCAGAATCACAGCCCTAGTGCAGACCTGCCAAATTCCACTCAGGTGAGGCTCAGCTGTCTCTACTGTCAACAGGTTTTCCACAGATGGTCCGGCTGCCCTCCCCGCTGTGTCGCCTGTGTCGACCAGCTCTGATTTAACATTTGGTGGATGTTATCCAGGGTGACAACACACAAAACTTCAAGGCTAGCCCTGACACTGAAAATCCTATGTTCTTCCATTAGTTACCTCCTTGTGTGTGAAGGGTCCATTTCTACCTCCCAGGATCCTCCTTCTGTGGAAGCTGGGTTAACAGCTCAAATTCTGGAAAACGCGAGGTTAAAAATAGCTGTGACACTCATTAGCTGCAAGGGGGAAAGTTCAGCAAAGTTTGACAGCAGCACTTAGGAAGGCCTCAGAGAGGCTACAGGAAAGGCCTTGGAGCTGAGAACAGGGACCCAGCCTTCCTTAGAAGCCTGGCTCCAAACCAGCTGGGGCCCCACTAATTGGCCACGGCTGGGAAAGGTGCTTGTATAGTCACGACTCTGTAAAGCAAGGGGCAAGCGCGCCGGCAATTAAGTGACCACAAACCCATCCAAGAATTACTCGTCAGGGGGACTGCAAATGGTGGGAAAGCTCTTCCTGTTTGGAAGAGTGAATAAAATTTGGAGGGAATCAGCAACCCGGCCCCCTTCAGCAGCAGACCACTGAAGTCTAACCCCATCAGGAGAGAGACCCTCACCACTCAGGTTCTCCAGAGGAACAATTAGGAGTTGCTTGAGAAGTCCCCCAAGCTGACTTAACCTGCCGCGAACCCAGCAAGCAAACGTCCTCTGACTGTGATTTATAAGGAGGGGGTCACCTCCAGAGAGGGGCCTGGGCTACTTGCCTAAGTGCTGTGTGCAGGTCAGCCTGGAAACGATTATTATCATCATCAGGAGGATCAGTCAGGAGACAAGTTGAAGCAAGCTGAAATTTGAAAAACACATTAACAGGGGCTTGACGAGATGCCAGAAGAGTCTGCCAGCAGGGACAGCTGGAAGGCCAATTTCTGAGTCAATACTGAAAGGTGGTTGCTTAAATATCCGAGTCAACACACACTGATTTCTCTCCGGCTCAATACTCCTGTTTAATTGCACTGGGGAGTCTCCTCACTGACACATCTAACACCAAGATACATAGTTGAGTGAAAGAAAAGCGCTTTATTGAAGTGCAAATGGGTCCTTCGTGGAGCCTGCAGGCCTGGGTTCCGCTGAGCACTCCCTACTGCCCTGGCATAAGGTGGCTAAGCCTTGAGGGACTCCATGTGCCCCCGTTTTTAAAGAGGGTCGAGAGAGGGGTGAGCCCCAGGCCTCAGCTGGCCTGAAGAGAGAGGTCTAGGTGCGCTGCAGTTGCACGGGCTGCCACGGCTCTGAGATATTGTTTCAGGATCCATGGTCCTCTCTGGGGAGAGGGGGCAGGAGTGCCTGTTTCCCACCCGAGAGAGCCTAGTCAGATGGAACGGTGTGCAACTGGAAAGCCATCATGTTTGGCAGCCAGGTGACCACCTGGCGAGGCTGGTGGTAGAGATGATGAATGAATGTCCGCCCAGCTGCCTGGAGCCTGGGAAGCAGGCTGGCCTCTGAAGAGTCCTGACAGGCCATGGCTACTGATGGAGACACCTCCTCATTGTGATGCCCACATAGGGGCTGGGCAGGATGGCCCAGGGGTAGTGGCGAGGGCGGGGGCTCCCACCGTGACGCTCTGGCAGCCTTTACTGCCTTCAGAGCTAAGCATGATATAGGAGACCTAGCTGGACCTGAAAACCCATGAGAACTGGGACCCAAACCACAGTGAAGAGGCAGGTCCCATGAGCAGGTGGCATGAGTCTGCCACAGCTAAATTCTATGTCTGTTGCCAACTTTCAGAGATAAGGAAGAAGCCCATGTCATTGGTAAACCCAAACTCAAAATTACTGGGGCACATTGTGAAAAGGTAGTTTCTGGTTCAGTACGTCTGGGTGTGGGTGGCTTTGGGTCCAGTGGCACTCTTGGTGCACACCAGTCTGTCATGCACCCACAGTGTGGGAGGGATTCCTTATGAATACGCCTGCTAATCACACCGAACAGAGATCTGTTCAGATGGGGCCCCGAGGATCTGAGAGACACAAGGCTGGGCCATTGCCAATCCAAGAAGTTCAAGTTCAGTGGGCAGCACTTAGGGAAACTATGGAATTGTCTCAGTCTGATGATCAAAACGAACTCACAGGGACGTGATCTGCCCAAGACAAACAAGTGTGAAATGAAGATCAAATGCTATTTCTTCCACTTACTAGTTGTGGGACCTCATATAACTGTTGTGTAAATAAGATGTTGTGGGTCAAATGCCTGTCACAAAGTAGCTGCCAAAAAATGCCAGTTCACCCTCCAGTTTCCCCCCAAACTGAGGTGGCCTGAATTTCTCTCTCTGGTTGTTGGTGTTGCTTTATGTCCAGGAAAGCCATAGTTAGAAGAGGGGCTGAGAAAGTTCTGTCTTCACCTCTAAGAAAGACACCCAGCCCTGCCCAGTCCTGTTGGTCCCTGTTGGTCCCTGTGGAGGGACCTCCCCATCTCCCATGCAACAGAAGTTTGAAAAATGAGTTTGCTCATCTTCCTGGAGCATGTGGAGTTTTTACACCTTCCCTTCTGAGCTGTTTATGAATCAAATGGCAGAGCCGTTCTCCCTCTGGAGATCCCCAGGGAGCCCAGCAAGTCTTCACCTGCCCCCCATTTCACGCTCAAGCTTTTTTGTACATCCATAAGCAGTCTCAAGGCCAAGACTACCAGGCCCCCACACACCTGTCTGACTTCCTCCCTGTGGCTCCCTTTCTCCTCCAGCCCTCTCCAGGCACACTGGTCTTCTTGTCTCCTGTGAACTTGCCAAGGCTGTTCCTGCCTTGGGCACAGCGCTCTGTGGAAGCCCCTACCCAGGTGGCCACATGGGGGTTTTCCTTCATCCAAGTCCCGGCTGAAATGCTGCTCCCTCTCAGAAGGCTTCACTGGCCCTCTTCTCCACTACTCAGTTTTGTTTTCTTCTTGACATTCATCACTACCCCAACCGTCTTATTTGTTTAGTTACCTGTTAATTGTCTGTCTCCTTCTACTAAGCCACAAGCTGCCCAAAGGCAGGGACCTCATATGTTTAGTTAATGAGCATCGCAGATCACAGGACAGTGACTGGATGCTTTGCCCATTCCTGCAGCAGCAACACTTTTCCAGGAACACTGTCGAATGGATCTACGAGTGTTATAATTCTATAATGTAATAGGTTGGACGACTATTCAGGGTTTTGGGCATTGCCAGAAATATGCAACTCCAGAAGGGAGAGGCGTGGGGAGAGGAGGGATATGCCTCTAGGCAAAGGCAAAAACTTTGCTTTGAGCTTCTCATGTCCCAGAATCCAAACATCCAACTGACCCCAGGATCAGAGTCTTCTCTCACCTGAAATCAACATGAGGCTGCTATTCATTGCCTCAATCTCAGGTTCTAGGATCAAGCTAGAGGGAAGCCTTCGGGCATCAGGGCAGTGCCAATGCCAAGCACTCAAGCAACACTCAACTTTAGAGACATTGTCTAATAGAGATAACGAGAGCTGGACTTTTCATATGGATTTTTAGGCTGTTCTATCTCATCACATGGATCTTTCATTTGTCTTAAGAAATTGTCTCAGTGACCAGAGATGGTTTTTAGAAAATGCATGAGCTGTGATCCTCTCTAACAAACATGCACTGTGGCCATGACTTGCTTAACTCCACATGGATCGCCTAGTATGGGGGTTCTAGAAAGGGCTGGGGGAGCTGCTGCTACAGGGGTTCATATTGTCCACCCATCCCTGGTTCTTCATGATTCCTTTGTGACTCCATACTCCAAACCAGTCCTGAGAATTGTTCTGGCTCTGAGGTGGCTGAGTGACTGCCAAGACAGCCCAGAATAAGCACAAATGAAGCAAACCCTCCTGTCCCTACAACTCTCAGGACAAAGTAGAGAAGAGGGTAACTGGGCTGTTGGAAGTGTCAGTGCCCTGAGGTCCCTGTAAAGCACCAGATGGTGCAGGAACAGGAAGTCTCCACTTTCCTTAGTAAGATGAGGCAAGCTACTTGGGGCCACACTGTCCAGAGAAACTTTGTTTTGTGGATGCGCAGAAAGCAATAAGTTTTTCTGGTATTAGAGATTCTTTTAGAAGCGAGTATAGAAGTCCTGCCAGCATGAGAGCCGCTGGGGCACCTGCAATGGGGGAGCTCAAAACAAAAGTTCATTCAAAATACAGCGAGCAAGTCAGTAGTGTCCTGCCCAGGACCCCAAACTCCACCTACGCTATCCCTCTCTGGCTTTTTCTCACCACCCGTGAAGTGACCTCTGAAGTGTCTGATTCTCTTTATGAGCAAGGCAGGGCTAGAAGTATTTTAGACCAGGCCTGCTGCACTCACCGTCTGTGTCTGCTGCGTCTCTGTCGGGGAGCAGCTGCTGACTGTCGGCATACCTCATGATGGCAACGGTTCTCCTGTCTTGATTTCCCTGAGCACTTGCTTCTGCAAAAACCGTGAGAGGAAGGAAAAGTGAGGATGGTTGCATGAGCAGGCTTCATGGTGGCCGAAATGGGAGTTTTTTTTGTTTTTTTTTTAATGCCTCTGAACATCGGCTGTCCTGGGAGGTTTCCCAAAGGTGTCCATCATGTGAAGGACTGAACGGAAGCTCCAGTTGTTGGATGTCGTGCTAGGGAGGCTGAAGGACATTTAATGTGTTTCATGGACTCATTGCCTAGAACGAGGAAATGCACTGTCTGAGAGCAGAGTGGAGGAGAGGAGGCTCGTTTGAGGAAGCGCTCTCCTGGATGCTCTCCTTTCTTGCTCCTGCTACCTCTGGGTCCCTGCGTGCCAGGGTAGGGTGGGGCACAAGAAAGACCCTGTAGGGCCCTTTCTTCTGCATTGCTTTGGTCTTAGACATAGTTCTGAATGTTGACTGCACATAAGAATCACTGAAGTGCCCGGCTCCTGCTCCTCTCTAAGAACCCCCCCAAAAATAATGTGTGTCCCATCGGAGATAATCTAAGGAAACAGACCAATCTAGAGATAGCATCAGTGGACACAATAGTGTTTCCATGTCCCTCCCCCGCAATGGCTTTGAGATTCTCTATCTTGCCACGTGGAGATGTCAATTGTCACTGGGAGAAAACATCCTGGCCCCTGGAAGTTTAATGGGGTTCCTTAGGAAGCAGTATCTGCATGAGTCTCCCCTGAGAGTTCCTGGCCTTCCTGCTGGAGCCCCTCCTCATGCTGCGCTCCAGGGTAGTGCATGGAGGCACCTGGACAAGGGGTTCAGGGTGAGGACTGACATCACCTCCAGGGTAGATGAAGGCAGACAGGAGAGACAGACTTACCCTCCCCCAGAGCCTGGTGGCTGAGGCTCACAGCTGGATATCCAGGGCTGCTGGGGAAAGGGACAGGGGGCTGGGAAATGCGCAGAAGCATGAAAAGAAAGGGCTGGATCCTTCCTTCCTTCCTTCCTGGGACCACATATATGTTTGTACGGTTTTCTCTACATGGAGGCACCTGGCCAAGGGGTTCAGGGTGAGGACTGACGTCAGCCAGACAGAGGGTGGCCATTTTCTTCTATAAGAAGCCATGTCTGGGGGGTTGCCCACCCCATAGCCCACAAAGGAGTCCTTGTTGTTAATTTACACAGAGGCACTGTTTGGGGCCTCGGGGGATGGGGGGCTGCTATCCCTCACCTTCCTTTCACACCCTCCCTCCCTCCTCATTCTCAGGCTCCATTCTGAGGGCTCCGGGTCAGGCACTCTTTCTCACTTTCTACTTGGGATTCCTTTTCCCTAGCTCAGAACTGAAAGTGGGTTCGATTCTACTGGCTCCCTTGATCCAGAATACTGTTTCTCTAAGAAGTGTGGGAACCCTCAGTGGGCGAGTGGGAGAGAGCAGTGTGGGGTTAGAGCCAGGCAGAGCTGAGACCCATCCACCCTGTCCTGTGCCAAAGCCTCCGGCCCGGCCTTCTCCTCTCCAATGATCATGTGGCATGATGCCCCTCCCCACTCTACTTTGTCCATTTCTGATAGCAAAGAGAAAAGGAGGAAAAGTTTGTTTGCCTTCTCTCTAGAAACCCTCTGTGCTGTGAGGCTGGCATGAGGGCGGGAGGGAGGGGGAGATATCAGGATGAGCTGCCCAGAGCCTGGAAATTCTGGGGCTAAAAGTTCTAATGAGGACTGCTCCTGGTCCTTATTGCCAAAGTCATTTCTTGTTTTTTATTTAAATCTTTGTATCCCAGTGCCCACATCAGTAAAATGTGGATCTAAATTTTAAAAACTCAACTATGGCTTACAGGGATGCTAAGGTGAGCTGATGTTAGAATGAAGGCATCATGACAACGATTTTAAAAGTTCCTCAAATAACCCATCTTTTCTTTGGGATAGCCCCACTTTTAAAAATAGTCATCATAATCCACATGTCCTAAAGAGACATGCTGCATGTAATAGCTGTGTAAATAAGGAACCTCTGGACTTTGAGATTCCCCTGTGGGCCTCTCACAGGAGTAGCTAAAGATTAGCTCCTGTCAGAAGGAATTCATTCCCTTCTTGGAGGTTCAGAAACGCTTGCCTCCTGCTACTGGGTTTCCGCTTCAGGACAGCACTTCCGTCTTAGGCTGTAGCTAAGAGGACCTGAGTGTGTGGGATGGATCAGCCCTGCAATGGAGACCTCACTGTTGGATTCTAGCTTCTTTGGGGGTTACCATGAGCCAAATGGTAATCCCTGGTCCAGCTTAGCACTGGGTTGTTTTACCCTAAACTCCCACCCTCTTGTCAGTCCTGGAGCTGGGTGAGTCACGAATTTTGTCCCTCGTCTATTTTGGAAGCTAGAACAAAATGTGGAAGGCAAAAGTTTCCAGCATGCGAAGAAGCCTGTGCTGGAACCTCTGAAGCTGGCGAGCAGAGAAAGCACTCGCAAATAAGAGCTGCATGGGACGTACCTAGAGAAGAACCTCGAAGACTCGTGTATGTAGAACTCTAGCTGGATCTATCGGCCCAGCTCAGAGAACATCATAATAACCAGGATGCAAGAGAAGCATGTTCAGGGCAAGATGGTTGAACTGAGCCTTGGAGCATGGTGGTGGGCAGGGACGCTACCTGTGTTGACGCTGCAGACACTGAACATATCGAAAGTAGTTAGTGGAAAAACTTCTCAAAGCTAATGACAAGGCTTCTCTTTTTTGCTTACCCTTGTGATCACGTGGGGTTTTAGGTCTTCCCATGATCTCGTCCTCTGTGGCATTCAAGTTCTGGATCAAAAAGTATGTGGTCATTTTCCCTTTACCTTTCACTTCGATTTCACCTCTCTCAATGATTTGAAATCCTTGATTTTTCAAGGCTCTGCACAGAGAAAAAAAAAGTGCATCAGATATCAAACACTGTGGGTCTGTAACTCAAGAGTTGTCTACAATGCGCAGGCTACTCACAAGAAGTGCAGGATGCAGGACACCCAACAGCAGAGCAGGGAGGATCCCAGACACCAGCCTGCTGAAGAGGGACATAGGCCATGGACAAAGTCAGGGTGAGATTCTCAACAAGATGCCAAAGGCCAAAAGGGAGCACAGGGACTCACCAAAACCCTGCCGACCCTGCCATTAATTTCCCTCTCTCCAGCTCACCCCTCATATGGCATCTCTCACATTTCTACACACCATGCTGTCAGTGCCCGTGTGGACACCACCTTTCATGGTTCTGCCACATAAGGCTCTTGGGTATCAACACTCTTCTTTCCATCTTCCCCAAGTGCACCACATACCCCACACTTGCTACTGTGCTCATCCTAACTATCCAAACTTTCTCCACCATAATTTCTGTCTGCCAATGAACTGAAGAGGAGGACTATAGGATAGGGACCATGAAAAGAGACAGAGCTATGGGGTAATTACAAAATGTTTCCCCATTGATTTATTTACTGTCCACCAAGTGATGGAGAAAAGGCAAAGAACCATCCGACCGTGAGGATTCAAATTCATGACCACCTGCCTCGGCACTCCATCGAGCCTTCCCTTGTCATTGGTCAGATTGGTGGAGAGTTCAGACCTTCACCACACTCCTTTTGTGCCCCCATTTGGCATCCGCTTCCCTCCCTCACACGCTGGTGACTGTGCCTCCTACTTTCTGATCTGATTCATCTACAACATTACAGTAATTACATGTGAGAACCTGTGACTTCTCACCCCCTTGACATCACCCTTTTCCCCAGTCTGTGAGAATGAGATGTCTTTCTTGTTCAGGGCTCCTCATCCATGCCCTCTTCCCACCACTTCTGGGCCTTGCTCCATCGGCCACCTCACCCTTATCTTCAGCTCCCTCTCCATTTGCCTTTCTCCTTCTGCTTGTCAGTGTGCTTATGTCTCTTCCATCCTAAACAGAAGCAAGCCAACAGCTTCTCACCTGCTTTAATCCCATATGAGTTTTCTCTTCTTTTTATTCTTCAGCCCAAGGTCTATCCCACCATTTTACTACAACCACTTTTGATAATGCCCCAGAACCTCTAGTGAGTATTTTTTCATCCTTATTACTACATTTGACATTGTTGTTCAATTCCTCCTTCCTAAGTCATCCACAAGAATGCTTCTCACCCTAAACACTCCTCGTCCTTTCTATTTCTTCTCCTGCTTCTCCCATGGGCTCCTCTTCCTCCCGTGCCACTTAAATGCTGGTTCTGTGCAGGATTCCATTCTTTTCCCACTGTTCTTTGCACACTGCATCCTCCCCTGGGTGATCTCATCAACTCTCATGACTTTACCACCTATATGTTGCTTACTCTAAGTCTGGATCTTCAAAAACTCAGCTCCAAACTTCATGCATGCATTTTGTGCCACCTCTAGCTGAATGTTCCACAGTTTCTTTGAACCCAGTGTGTCCAACCTAAACTCATTGCCTGCCCTTATGAGCTGGGATACTTATTTGTCCTATTGCAGATGGCAAGGCCATCATTCAAGCCCCAGTCACCCAGAATGGAGACCTGGGCTTCTCCCTCCTTCTCCTCCCCCATTTCTAACTAGTTTAGCTGGTTTTACTTCCCCCATATGCCCGCCACTAATGTTCTAATTCAGACTAAACTCCTAACAGGTCTTGTCTATCTCATTTTCTGATTCTCAGACATGTCCTTTTAGGGTCTCTAGAGTGGTCAGTTTCAAATAGGACCCGGCCCTGTCACTGGCTTCAACCTCACATTCCTTGGGGGCTTTTCCTAACCTACAGCATAGGGTCCTTGCCCTTCAGTAGGGCACATGCAGCTCTCATCGCTCCTGCCTCATATTTTCCAATACAAGAAAGCTTAAGTGTTTATACTTCTCTGCACCTATTCTACATGTGAACCTGTACCTGCTTTTTACCCCCAATACCCCAATTTTGTTTAAATTTTACTCTGGAACTCTTTGTTGAAGATTTAGCTCAGGAATCTCCACGAAGCCCATTTTTACTGGGTCAAGCCCCCTTGCCCTGGGCTCCCATGACACCCCCTGTGATTCCCTTGGGGATAAGAGTGCCACAGTTAAAGGGGGGACTGTGAACCCTGACTCTGTGGGCATCTGGCCTATTCTCCTTCCTAGCCTACCTGTTCCTGAGGCAAATGATTAACCTTTTTCTGCCTTTTCTTTCATCTGTAAATAATAATAATGTATCTTTACAGAGCTGTTACAACTATAAATTAATTAACATATAAAAATTTAGAATAGAATGTGGCCTATTGTAAGTTCTCAAGAAACTACAAGTATTGTTTTATATACACATTTATCGTTGTATTTATCTCACTTTAAAAATAATTAACTGCAACTTTTCTTTTTTCTTTTGCTAGACCAAAAGTCAGCACACTTTTTATATAAAAGACCAGAGAGCAAATATTTTAGACTTTGTGTATTATATGGTCTCTGTTGCAGTCATTCAACTCTTCCTTTTTAGCATGACATCAGCCATAGAGAATATGTAAATGAAAGTGCATGGCTGTGTTCCAATAAAACTTTATTTACAAAAATGAGCAGCAGTCTAGATTTGATCTGTGGGGTTATAATTTGCTATTCTCTGGACTAAACTACCTGCCCCCTGAGAGTAAAAACTATGTTGCAGTAGAAGCTCAACTATATTTGTTATCTGCCACAATATCTTCTGTAAGCCATTGAGGCATGGAAGAAAAAGCATGAGTTTCCTTCCCTACCCCATGCCATGGCTGCTAGGCACTCTGTAAGTTCTGGAAGGAGGGAGGGACAAAGAAAGGCATGAATAAATGGAAGCTTACCTGTAGGTTGTGGCGCTGAGGTGTACTTTGTTGGGAAGCCCATGACTTTCCATCCTAGAAGCTGTGTTCACAGTGTCACCAAACAAGCAATACCGTGGCATCTTGTCTCCCACAACACCAGCTAAGACTGGTCCAGTATGGACACCCACTCGATCTGTACAGAGAGAGCATCACTGAAAAGAGACCATCTAATAATCTTGCTTTTATTTCTAAGTTAAGGTATAATTTACATAAAATAAAAAACAGATAAAATGTTTAGCTCCATGAGTTTTGACACGTGTATGTCCCTGTAACCACCAACTGAAATAAAATATAAACTAGTTCCATTACCTTGCAAAATGATCTTGTGCCCCCTCCAGTTAAGCTGTCTCCCCATCTTCTCCAGCAGAGATAACTACATTCTTATTTCTTTTACCAAAAAATGATTTGCCTATTCTAGAACATTACATATGTACAATTATATAGTATATACTGTTTTAAATCTGGTTTCATTTACTCAGTATAAGATTTTTGAGATTCATCTATATTGTATTACATATCAGTAGTTCATTATTTTTATCACTGAATAGTATTCTATTGTAAGAATATACCACATTCATTTATCCAGTCTCCTTTTCACGAACATTTATTTTTCAGCTTGAATCTATTAAAATGAAGGCTGCTATAAACATTTCTATACAGATATTTTTGTAGACATATTGTTCTTTCTCTTAAGTAAATACCTAGAAGTGGAATTTCTGAGTCACAAGGTAGAAGCATATTTAATTTTATTTAAAAAAATACAAGTAAAAATCCTTCCTGAAAATTCTCCAAAGTTGTTTTACTATTTAATATTTCCATCAGCAATGTGACATTTCCAGTTGCTCCCCATTTTCACCATCATTTGGTCTTCTTGTGGATGTGAAATGATATCTCACTGTGGTTTTAATTTGTGTTAAATTGGTAACTAATGATGTTAAGCACACTGTCATACACACATTGGCCATTCATATATTGTCTTTTGTAAAAAGTCTGTTCAATTTTTTGCCTGTTTTAAAAATTGAACTGTTTGACATTTATTGTTAGTGTGTATGAGTTGTATACATATTTGGATATGTAATATGTATGTATTATAAATATTTTTATCAGTCTGTGGGTTCGTGTATTTATTTTCTTTAATAAGCAGAATTTTTTTTGAGACGGAGTTTCGCTCTTGTTACCCAGGCTGGAATGCAATGGCGTGATCTCGGCTCACTGCAACCTCCGCCTCCTGGGTTCAGGCAATTCTCCTGCCTCAGCCTCCTGAGTAGCTGGGATTACAGGCACGCGCCACCATGCCCAGCTAATTTTTTGTATTTTTAGTAGAGACGGGGTTTCACCATGCTGACCAGGATGGTCTCGATCTCCTGACCTTGTGATCCACCCGCCTCAGCCTCCCAAAGTGCTGGGATTACAGGCTTGAGCCACCACGCCTGGCCAGAATTTTTTAATTTTGATGAATGTATTCATCTGCTTAGGCTGCCATAGCAAAATACCACAGACTGTGTAGCTTAAACAATGGAAAGTAGTTCTCACAGCTCTGGAGGCTGGAAGGCCGAGATCTAGCTGTGGGCAGGGTGGGTTTCTCCTGAGGCCTCTCTGCTTGTCTTGTAGATGTCCACTTTTGGCTGTGTCCTCACATAGGCCTTCTTCTGTGTACATGCATTCTTAGTGTCTCTTTATGACCAAATTTCATCTTCTTATAAGGACATCAGTCACACTGGATGAGGGCTCACTCTTAAGGCCTCATTTTACTGAGTAAAGGACATCAGTCATGTTGGATGAGGGCTCACTCTTAAGGCCTCATTTTACTCTAGCTCCAAAGACAGTCATGTTGTAACAGAGTTTCAAAGTGAGAATTTTGGGCAGGACACAATTCAGCCCATAACAGTGAAGTTTACCATTTTTTTTCCTTTCATGGTCTGTTCTTTTTATGTCCTATTTAAAAAAACAAAAAAAAATCATTGTTTGCCCCAAAGTCATGACACTATTCTTTACTTCCATCAAGAAGCTTTATGATTCTAGATTTTAAGTTTAGGTCTGTGATATATCAAATAATTTTTTGTATATGAGGTAAGGTAGAATTGAGGTACATTTTTTCTTTCCATAAGGTATTTGATGGTAACATAATCATTTTTTAAAAAGAGCTTGCCTTCTCCACTCACTGGTTTGGTCAAAAATCAGTGGACTAAATGTGACGTCTATGTCTGAACACTCTGAGCTGCTCCAGTGATCTGTCTGTTCTCCTCCCAATCTCACTCTGTATTTGTTTACTGTCGCTTTAAGTCTTAAAATTAGTTGTGTACATCCTCCAATTTTGTTTTTTTCTAAGATTGTTTGGGTTACTCTAGATTCTTTAAATTTCCATATATATATTTTAAAATCAACTTGTGAATATTTTCTAAGAGGCCTGCAGGGATTTTGATTGGCATTCTACTGAATCTATTCATCAATTTGTGAAAAATAAACAGCTTAAATATACTGAGTTTTCTAGTAATGAATATGATATATCTCTCTATTTAATTAGGTCTTCTTTAATTTCCCTAAGCAACATCTTGTAGGTTTAAGCATAGAAGTCATATGTATCTTTTGTTAGATTTATTCCTAGAAATTTAAATAATTTTATTTTCTTTTTGTTTCATTTTTTAATTTTTTGTCCTTTGTATGTAAAAATTTAATTAATTTTCCTGTATTTATCCTATGACCTTGCTAAACTCATTTGTTAGATCTTGCAGTTTGTATAATGTTTTATTGTATTACTTGTAGTTTGTGTAAGGTTTTCTAAGTGCACCATTATTTGTTCTGTGAATAATGATAATTTTATTTCTTCATTCATTTCCAGGCTTAATGTCTTATATTTCTTCTTCTTGCCTTAGGGCACTGGGTAGGGTTTTTGGTATACTTTAACTAGAAGTGGTTGTCTTTGTATTCATTCTGCTTGGGTTTGCTGAGCTCTGGATATGTACATTGATATCTTTTATCCATGTCTAAAAATTCTCAACTATTATTTCTTCAAATATTTCTTCTTACCCATTCTCACTCTGTTCTCCTTCTAGCATTTCAGTTACATATATGGGAGTCCATTTGACATTGTCCTCAGCTCTAGTGTGTCTTCTTCCCTTTTTTCACCCTGTTTTCTTCTTTGTGTTTTAGCTTGGATTATTTCTATTTCTCTGTCTTCAAATTCCCTTATTTTTTCCCTCTATTGTGTCTAGTCTTTGTTAAGCCCATAAAATGAGTTTCTCACTTCTGATTTCTGATATCATCATTTTCTATTGGATATAGATATAGAGATAGATGTAAATATAGGCAGTGTGTATATATTTCCTATATCTTCACACTTGTTTTGCCCTTTTCTTATAGACCCTTTAAAATATTTATCAGACTTATTTTAAAGATCCTATCTGATAATTCCAACATCTAGGCTATCTCTGGAACTGCTTCTATTGACTATTTTCTCTATTGGCGATCCACTATATTACCATTTTCTTGTTTCTTCTTATGTCTCATATTTTTCATCATTTAATCGAATGATCCATGTTGTGTGTGAAAATACAGTAGAGACTGAAGTAGATGATATTTATCCCCCACAAAATGTTACATTCCTTCAGAATCAGCCTGCTGGAATGGAGAGTAAGTAAATCTAATCTATATTTGAGTTGGATCTGGGCTTTTCCAAAAATATTGGTATATTCCGTGCATCACTGGTTTCAAATATTATGAAGTCTGAATCAGAACTTTCAGTATAGCAGAGCTTAGAATCTGAGCACCAGCAAGGCTGTGAGGACCCTGAATGCTATAAAGCCAATCCACCAGCTCTTGGAGATTTAGGAGATCTCCTTCGGCATTATAATCCAACAGTGAGATTTTCAGAAGTCTCTTTGGTCTTCAGTCCTACCCTGGCTCTCTGCACCTTGGGAATTTTTTCTCTGCCATTCGTCCTTGCCCCCAGACTTCAAAAGGTCATCATAGTGTACTCGGTGGAGACCAAAAGTATCAGGTGGATTTCTCTCAGTTCTCTTACTCAACACTAGCCTTTAATGGGCCACTGTTTTGCATTTGGGAAAGGCCCCAAACACCTCAGGGACTGAGGAGCTTTCTCAGCTCTCCTCTCCTGTCCTAGTCTTTGGCTGACTAAACCTCTGCACTCGGCCTATGAGAAAGAGTGGTAGATGTGTACAGACTCTGTGGCTGGGGCTCTTTGGGATTCTAACCTGTTGTTTCAGCCCTGTCACCATTAAAAATTCACTAAAATTTAAATGGGCTTATCCCTGCCCTCACCTCTGGTGGATTACTTCTTCTGCTGCCCTGACAGGATTGAATGCAATTATGGATGTCTTCTCTTTGAAAGGACTTCCACTTCCTGGAGTTAAGTTTATTTTGATTCCTTTGCTCTCTGGTGGGGGAAAAAAACTACCAGCGTGGGAACAATGGTCTATTGCAGCTTTCTACATCCTAATCAGATTACTTGTTGTTTTTACTAGCTAGAGTTTCTTCTCCTTGAAATAAAATTATAAATTCCTCTAGAAATAGAGGATTATCTGAACTCTTCAAAGCACCTAGTAATACTGTCTCATGCATGGATAGACCTCAGTAAATGTATATTAAAGCTATATGAATAAAAGAATAGAATATCTCAGTGCATAATAATTTTTAAAGTGTAGAAATGGCAGCATAATTCTGTAAAAGAGAAAATGTTTCCAGTTCTTTTCCCTACATCCTTGAATAAACCCATGTGATATGCTGTTTCTAGTATTTAGTGATGCTTCTAATTCTGTCCATAGTCTTACTTTGGAATTGCTAACATTCTTTCCTTTTCTTTTTTCATGGTAAATCCACGTTCAGAGTTTCCCAGAATTAATTGTCTAATTTTATTCTTATTGGTGTAGCATTATTTTCATCTCTGGTGCTATGCCCCTTTCATACACACACACACACACACACACACACACACACACTACACTTTCCATTTACGCAACCACATATTTTTATTTTTTCACCAGTGGCTTACATGAGGGTGCCTTAACTGAAACATTTATCTCTTATCAACCTCCTTTATCTCTTCCCTTGTTACCTCCTATCCTGATTTTTTATTTATTATATTGGATTTTTATTTCACTGATGCACACTTCATGTTTGCAGTGAGTCATTATGGCAGCTGTCTTGTTCTTGTGACTAAGGCCAGCCTTTACTTAGAAGACTACAGTGAATGCTGTAGCCATGATCTACACTGCTTCTCAGCTTCTAACTCACCATGGTCAGGATGAGTGGAGCATATTTTCAGAATCTCCTGTAAAAAGGTTATAATGTGGAAAAATTATATTCCATCTTATAATTGGCTTTGTTTATTTCGAGTTGATCAGTTTATTTTGAGTTTCTGACTGATAATAGCAGGGAAAGGATCTACAGATAAAAGGCAGAGGGATGCGGTTCTCAGCCATCCCGGGAGCATTAGGATCTACTGAGCTAGCAGAAGAGGACGTTCATTTTTCATCTCCAAAACTATTCAACTTTTAGAGTATGAACAAACTTCCAGACTTGGAAGTGTACCTTTCTGTGAGAAAGGCGAGCAGATGTCTCGCTAGTGGCCACGTGGTGGAAGGAAAGCCGTTCTGAATATCTTACGGCACCACAGTGCCTGGCCTTCTGACTGCAGGCAGCTTCACGCCTCAGCCTGAGTTCTGAACCTGTCAGATGGCATGCTGGAGACACAGTTTCCTGCTAAGTTGGCTGCTAAGTAAACCTGAACCACTTGTTGAAATTCTTGAACAAAAAAGCAGGAATTATAAATGATCTGGTTTTTAAGATGGAATGAACCCTGCTAGGTAAAGAGGAAGAACTGCTCAGCGCTGTCCTAAATCACCAACAAAGGAAGCTTGCAGTCAACCATAGGAAAACCTTGAGCACCACAGCTCCTCTGAAATTTGAGAAAAGTTTAGACTATAGCAGCCTTAGGAATATCTCTATTAGGAACATATGCAAGAGAAGAAAAGGGTTAGGATAAATTACCCATTTTAATGATGGCAACATACCCAGTAATCACCTAAGCATATAAGTGGAATTCCACTTTTATGTGTGAGATGTGTGGCATTCAGCCAAGTACACAGTTGCTCTCTACCTGGATGGGTTCTCGTAACAGGATTCATCACTTCCTTTGCAGAAATCCTCATCCCCAAGGCAAAATTAGCCACTCTTTGAGCATGGTTTCCAACAGGCACTGGTACACCTCCTACCACCATATAAGTATCTCCAATTGTTTCTACCTGTCAGGGAAAAAAATAGGTATTCAGAGGGTTTCCTTAATGTACTAAACATGTCGCTGTGCTTTTTTCCATTTTCCATATATTGACAAAGGGACTATATTAAAGTTGGCAATTCTTTGCTAAGGGTATGAGGAGCATCAGGGAGGAAGTAAGAAGGAAAAGGACTCGGGAAACATCCATGAGAGAGCCAAGGGCCTGTCTGCTTTTGTTCAAACGAATCCCAGAGAAGAGGAAGTGCCTGGGGTAGTCATGTGATACTACATATGGGATAACACATTGTTTGGATTCGACTTTCTGTGGAATTTAGGAGTAGGAGAACCGTTAAGGTCTAGGAAAACAGTGTTTGCCCCTCAAGGGCACCAGAGTACTATCTTAGCACTGAGTATTGTAAGAAAATTCCTAAAATACATCCAATTCCTTTCAGCTCTTATTTTCTGACCCTATACTCATCCACACCAAACCCCAGACCAGGGCCAGACAGAGGCAAAGGGAGTCTTAGAATCAAGCACTCACCCTGCATGAGCACACTGTGAAACACCCAACACTGCACAGGTTCTTACTTTATAGACTGCGTGCATGTTGGTTAACCTGTCAACCTTGGAGTACATGGAGTTCATCATGTTCACTATCTGTATAGGTTCACAGGCAGCACAGATGGTGGTAAATGTCACCACATCGCTGAAAAGGATTGGGCAGCTTTTAAATTCTCCTGCAACAGAAACCAGGTATCAGTGAGAATCAAGGAGACAGACTAATTGGTCCATGAATTCTGTATTCAGAGGCCCTTTGAGACTCAAACCTGCTTGTGCCTTGAAGAAAAGGAGCTGGATGCCATTCCCAATTCGGCATCACTCAACACACATTTACTGAGTGCCCACTGCAAGCTAGTCATACTAGGAGAATCATATCACAGGGGCAAGCAGACCAGGCCCTTGCCCCAAAGGAGACCCCGTCTAATAAAGGAGACACACGAATGAACAAATGCTGCTAGTAAGATGTGACCAGTGCTGTGGGAGGACAGAAAGGGCCCCTAGCAAGTGGGCCAAGCAGAGCCTGCGGACAGGGCTGACAGAGACAGGTCACTGTGAAACGGTGGGTCCCCGTCTTTGTATGGCAGGGAAGCTACCTTGTCCTCAACACTTGCTCCTAAATCATGCCCCTGATTCCACCTTGGCTCCCATTCATACCACCTTCCACACAGCAGCCAGATGCCCTGTTTAAGTCAGATCTCCCACGATTCAACCCCAAACCTTGCATGACTTCCATTATTCCTAGAATGTAATCCAAAGTCCTTGCCACGGCCTACAGAGGGGACCCCCCCAACCTCTTTCCCGCCACGTCTCTGACCCCATGCCCCTATGGCTCCCTCCACTCTGGCCACACTGGCCTCATGGGGTTTCTCCAGCATGCCAAGTACCTCCTGCCTTCGGGCTTCTACACCTAAGGAAAGAGGTGTTTTCTCTGCCTGACATTTTTCTCAAATATCTACAGGGCCTGTCACTCACATTTCAGATGTAACCAACTCAGTGAGAACTGGCTTCACCACCCTATATAAAATAGCCCCTAGACTGGCTGTCCTCTTAGCCTGGTTGCCTTCCACCCACTCCGTAGACATGTGGCATGATATTTTGTATGGAATGGTTTATTTGGTTATCATTGGCCTCCCCACTGGAATACAAAGCTTCATGAGATGGGAGACTCTCAGTTTAGATCTGTGCTGTATCCCAAGCACCTAAAGCAGGGCCTGGCACACAGTAGATGTTCAATAAATATTGAGTGAATAAACTGATGGCTCCTTGAATGCAGCTGGGTACCTTCTATGTCAGTTATGCCTCTGGTGGTAATTTCCCCTTCGTGGAACTTTCTATTCTCCTTGGCTTCTGGCTATCATTCTCTCTTCATATTCCTCCTACCTTTCTGATCTCCTCGTTTCACATCTTTCCTTGGCTTGTCAACCTTCTTAAGTAGATGTTCCCTAAGGAGTAATACTCCACTCTCTTCTCACTTCCTGCTCTCTAGGTGATCTTATCTCCTATTCACAGAGTCTATGATTAACCCGCCCACATTGCAATAACCCCCAGGTGTGTAGCTTCATGCCACAATGTTCCCGTGAGCTCTCGCCAAAATTCCTGCCACTGACCATGCTATATGTGGCACAGACATCTCAAACTCAATGTTCTAAAATAGATCTTGTCATTCTCCCCCAACCCTGCTCTTGTTTCTGGCCCTGTCTTAAGGATAAAGCAGCCCATTTTTCCATGCAAGAAGCCTCAGACCCATGCCTGCCTCCTCTGTCTTACCTTCCCCACCTGGTCAGTGAGGAAATCCTGCTGATTCCTTTTTCCTCTTTGCTTGCTGAAATTCAGCCTCAAGGCCCAACTCAAGTGGCTGAAACATTTGAGAGGTGCCTTCACAACTCAAACCTGCCCTCTATCTCTTTCTCTCCTGACACCTATTTATTATTACTTTCCTTGTCCCTATGTCACCACAGCACCTTATGTGGTGGAAAGCGTGTGGATTTTGCGGTTAGATGGCCTTAACACAGTTAGTTTCCAGCTCTTTCATTTGTCAGCTGTGCTGAATATCAGTTTGCTTAGCAATATTATATGGACAACACCTCCCTCATTAATTTTGAGAAAAATTAATGAAACAGCACGCGTTAAATGTCTAACACGGATCCCAGCACAATCATTGCTTTTTAATGCAAATGAATTTCTTTTCCTTTGGTCATTCCCACCCTCATTAACTTATTCTGCATATATCTAATAAAATCACAAAACTCCTCTGTGTGCCCAGATCTGGAAGAGCACCCTGACACAGAGTAAGCTCACCAGATGTGTCTGGTGAATGAACATAGTCTTGTGACAAATGGAAAATGAGTTCAGGGTAAACACGAAATCCCTGCCTCCGTAAATAGTGTACTGTCCCAGAATGGTCCTCAGAGGAACCCTATGATTTAACTAGTGTGTGAGTGTATTATGTCTAGTTATAGTTAAGAACCCTACTCATTGTCACTGAGTAACGAGGCCAATCTCATGACACATCCTTAAATTCTGAGAGAACTTAATGTATGTGTAGTTGACAACCATTTTTATATAATTCATGTTTCACTCCTGTAATATTTTTATTATTATCAATGTAGACAGAACAAAGCTGAGGATATGCAGGTGGAGTAATTAGCCCAAGATCATGTCACTTACAGGTGACAGAGCCAGAATTCAAAACCACTTCTGTCTGGTTTCAAACCTGGGCCCCTGACCACTAAGACATACCACCCTCTGCTCAGAGGTCCCTGTTCAGGAAACAGTGCCTTACCTGCAGCCACCTTTTTGCCCTCCTTCAGCTGGTTGGCCACGTGTTTAGGAAGCATGGCATAAAGCAAAGTCTCTGTTTTCTTCTTTTCGATGGCCAAGTACTTGGAGAGGACCCGCAGCTCCTCCTTCTTCCTCTCCAGCTGGTTGGACAGCTCCATCTCAGCCAGCTGCTGCTGGTTCAGGAGGATGAGATCCCTGGTGGTGTCATGGAGGGCGATGTCAGAAAGATGCATATTGCATTCTTCCAGCTCTTGCAGGCTGTGGAGCTTTGGAGAATACAGGTACACCATGCACTGCATGGAATCCATCCAGATCATCTGGCCTTGCCATCATGGAGAGAAATGCAACAATAAGATTATATCACCAGCAGGGGCTGAGATGAGCTCACTGGGCAACCAGTCATCTCCCACACCATGCACTTCTAGCTACTGCACAGTCAAGCTCCTTCTCTTTTACTCAAGGTCCCTGAGAGTTACATACATTTTCTGTCTCCACTTACTCATCTCTCCTCTTTCCCCAGCAGCTCTGTCTATTGCCTACTTTGAGGTGGCTCCCATCTCTCAATGGCCTCCATGCTACTGATGCCAACACAAGTTTCTTGGCCTTTTTTTTACTTAGTCCTTCTGTTGTTTGATGATGTTAATCAGACCTTCTTTCCTGAAATCTCACTTCCTAGGACTTCTCTGACACTGCTTTATCTCTGAGATTTCCCCTAAGGCTTTGAATTTTTATTTACATTGTTTTAATATCATTCCTTAAACATTAGTGTTTCTGAGGGTTCTGTCTTGGTATTCTCGGTTAGCATCACATAACTGCATCCTACACATGCTGACCATGAATCTGAATTTCCAGAGAAAACTTGCTTCCTGAACTTGAGATGTGTATTTCATTAAAAATAGATGTTTGTTATCTTATTGTAAAAGCAGTACATATTCATTGCAGAAAACAAAAAAAATGAAAGAAAATAGTAAAAATCACCCACAATCACACCTCACAGATAATTACTGTTAATATTTTGGAATATATCTTTGTTTTACAAAAAAAAAGAGAGGGATTACATGGCATCTTCTTTTCATAATCTGAATTTTTCACTTAAAATATGTAACATATTCTTTGGTAGTATTAAACATAGATATGCATCTTAATGTTTGCTGGTTGCCTTCCTCATACTGTATGTTAATAAATAATAAGCTAATATTGATTATATTATATCTAGCTTATCATTGTATGAACAACATTGTGATGAATAAGCTTGAGGCAATCTTTGTGTATAGTCACAGTTAGTTAAAAGATATATTCTTAGACACAGGTTACTTAGACAAAGAATATGCTCATTTTTAAGGCTTTTGATACATATTGCCAAAATCCCCTCTAGGGTGATTGTGACAATACCTCCATGAACAATTATTTTTTTCTTCTGTGCTCCCTATTAGGTATTTATTCATGGATATCTGCACTGAACTTATCTTCAACCCCCTTCTACAAATCTCTCTTTGTATTAGTTCTTTCATTTCATATGTAGTTAGCCCCTACAATTAGCCAGACACACTGTTTTCAGCACAAAGAATACAGCAGTGACTCAAACTGACAAAAATCCCTGCCTCAAGGATGTTATATCATGTCCTTTTTCCAGCACCTTCATCACCCAGTTACCCAAACAAGGAAGCTAATAATTATCCTAACAGTTCCCTACATGCAGTCATCAAGTCCTGACTTAATTATCTTATGAGTCTGTCCTCCAATTGCCACCCCAGTGCCATCACTGGAGTTTAGCAGCTTAGAGCTTCTCTACTGTACTCCAGAAGTGGCCTCCATCTGGCCTCCCAGGATCCATTTTCTCTACACTCTGATCGATCCTTCACATATCTCCAGAGTGATCATTCTAAATGTCAAATCTGATCATGGCAAACACTTCCGCGTGTTTCCAGCTGTACTACAGAGTTTAAGTCCTCACCTTGCCAGCCTTCTCTCCCATCACTCCACTCTACACCTCACTTGGGTTCCCAGAACATGTCATTCCCTTCTTGAACGTCCCCCCAGCTCTGCCTGTGCTGATCCCCGGAATACCTAATCATACCTCTAATAGAAAGACAGCTCAAAATGTGTGCCCTTTCATGCCATAAACAAAAATTTGCTCAAATTGAATCAAAGACCTAAATGAAAGAGCTAAAACTATAAAGCTCTTAAAAGAAAACACAACGGAAAAGTTTCATGACATCAGATTTGGCAACAATTTCCTAGATATGACACCAAAATCACTGGCAACAAAAGAGAAAATAAATAAATTGAATTTCATAAAAATTAGAATCTTTTGTGCATGAAAGGACACAACCAACAGTGAAAAGGTAACACAAAGAATGGGAGAATATAGTTGCAGATTGTATATCTGATAAGAGGTTAATATACAATATATTAGAAATTCTACAACTCAACCACAAAAGCAAACAACCCAATTTAAAATGAACAGAACACTTGAATAGATATTTTTTCTGAAGGGTAAGTAGAAATGGCCAATAAGCACATGAAGAGATATTCGATATCACTAATCATTAGGAAAACACAAATCAAAACCACAATAAGGTAGCACCTCACACCCATTAAGATGGCTACTATTTTTTTAAAAGCAGACAATAATAAGTGTTCATGAGCATGTGGAGAAATTGGAACACTTGTGCACTTTTGATGGGAATGTAAAATAGAGCAGCCACTATGAAAATAAGTATGGTGGGTTCCTAATTTTAATAAATCCATGTGATCCAGCAATGACACTTCTGGATATACAATCAAAAGAAATGATGGCAGGGACTCAGAGAGGCAAAAATATTTATAGTAATATTATTCACAATAGCCAAGTGTTAGAAGAAACCCAGTGTCCACTGATGGGTGATTGGATAAAGAAAACGTCTATTCATACAATTGAATACTATTCAGCCTTAAAAAGGAAGGAAATTCTGACACATGCTACAGTCTGAATGAACTTTAAAGACATTATGCTAATTGAAATAGACCAGTCACAAAAGGACAGGTACTGTTTGATTCCACTTATATGAGGTGTCTAGAGTAGTCAGACTCATGGGAACAGACGGTAGAATGCTGGTTGCCAGGGACTAGAGGAAGGACAGATGAGGAGTTATTGTTTAATAGGTACAGAGTTTCAGTTTGGCACAATATGAAAAAGTTCTGGAGATGGATGCTAGTAAAGGTAAGACAACTTGTGAATGTGCTTAATACCAATGAGCAGTACATTTAAAAACGATTAAAATGGTAAATTCTATGTTGTGCAAATTTTACTACAATTAAAAACAAAATGTGTGTGCTACTAATAGTGAGTTAGATGATCATGTTGCTATATAAACTAAATTTATTAAATTAAATTAATATCAATAGTACCTCATGCATTCTGAAAATGTTGGTAACAGATCAGAATTTTATAATTATATAACATATAATTTTATAGTTATATATACAAATAACTATATTACACATATAGTTTATTTATGTCTAAACCAGAGATAGTTGAGGAAATAAAATATATTGTTTACAGGTCAAGTCCAGTTGAAATGTCTGAAAAAAGAAAACGTGGTCTCAACATAGTCCCTTCCCCACTTTTTGGGAAACTGGAAAACTGCCTCTTGCCTTTCTGATCAATCATTCAAGCAGGCGTGGAGCAACAGGAAAGGAGTCAGTGATTACCTTGAAGTTTGAGTGTGGGCTGACTTTGCCATGCTGCAGGCACCATTTCTCTTCGCGTCTTCAGGACAAATTGACTGTTGATAAATTTGCGAATGCTGAAAATGTTGAAGGTAATTTGAGGATGAATGATGGAGAAATACTCATTCAGTTGAATCTTCTGGGTTTGGAGTCCTGGAACATACTTCTGAATGTTCACTCCAGCTTGCTTGACCTGTAGCTATCCACAGAGGACAGATTAAGACTGAGAAATAGAAAGCAACCCTCCCTCCGCATAAACTTCCCCTTGGAAAGAACATTCTAGCCATGTTCTGTGGCTCACTATGGGGAAAGGGGGTCAGTAATGGAATCGACAACATGGAAGTAATGAATTTTTTTAATCAATCGAATCTGTGCTAATGTCTGAAAGAGGAAAGAATAGTCCAAGAGTGCTCAGAGGCTTATTTCTGACTAAAGAGAAATGAGGTTACAGCTCTCTATTGGGCTAATAGTTCCTCCGTAGCTCTCCGAGACAACTCTATCTCTCACTGTCTCTCAATTACTAATGAAGAAACTAGAAAATTCTGCAGCATTGGATGTAACGCCCAGGCCTAGGTGAAGAAATCCATCAGAGGGGTGGGGAGATGCCTTTCACTGCTATCTCCAGTGATTGCACAGAAGGAAGAAGTAAAATAGGTGTCCTTTAAGTGAGTTCAGAATCAATTCAGTTGACATATATTTTATCCATGGAAATAAATTAACAACCCAACTCAAATGGTTATGCTCACAACTCTCACAGAGCAGTGGCATGAGCTGACATGGACCTCTCCCCCATGTTCAAGGTGCAGAATGTGAAGCTCAGTGGGATAGTGACATACGTGGTGGTCACAAGGATGGGAAGAGATCATGGGTAGCATTCCACCCTATCGTTGCTACTGACTGTGTTCTGTTGTCTCTTTATGTAGTGAATTTTAGCATCACTTCCTTTTTCCCTTTTTTCTAATGGTAAACTTTCCCATGCATTTACCAGTTCAAACCTCCCTTTCTACCCTATCAAAAAGATCCAACATTCTGGTTCCTGGAGGATATCACAATATGACAAGGAAATCAATGGTCCTGCCAGGGTAAACCCTAGTCTCCCACGCCCTGGGAATTTCTCAGGGACTTGAAAATCTTCATAGATTCATAAGAGACTGTAAATCATGCTTACTTTCCTGGCTTAGCCCCAATTCCAAGCTACAGAGGGAAGAATCTCTTATTGATTCGTCAAATACAATGTGGAAAGGAAAGGCATTGCAGAATGTCTTCTCTTCAATCCAGAGTCTCTCAGGATAAACTGGCTGGAAGTCATTTGCGACATGCCCTGGACAGAGAAAAAGAAAGTCCCGATGAGAAGCAGTTCCCTCCCCCACCCTTGCAGACAGCAGAGCTTAGGATAGGGATAGTATCTTAAGTGTTTCACAGGCGAAGTGCAATCCGCCTTCCTTTGCACGGGCTCCCTCAGCATCTCCAGATGGCCATGGCAATTCTTCCAAATTAAAACAAACAGAAAACTTGCTACCAGGTTGAGAAGCCCTCCTGCCCCCTGCCAAGTTTCTGCCCGCTGCTGAAGAGTTTCTGGGCCAATTGAGTACGTCTCACCATGAACACAGAGTCGGCATTGAAATGGTGACAGCCAGACAATGAGCTAGCAGAGCAGAGCGTGTGCTCCAGGCCCAGCATCAGGGACATTTGCCATGGAGCTTTTTAGACTGACAGTTTTGGGTGGCACGTGAAAATTTAACCAAGAGTCCTATTTGGCAGGGGTTAGAGATTCGAAATGGAGCCTTTTTGATATGAAAATCTCCTAGACAAAGGATGTCAATTGTGTGTCTGACTCACTTGCCATGGCTTGAAGGATGCAAAATGCAACCCTTTGAGCCCTGCAGACCTTCTCCCAGATGCGTGTCACCTGTCCCATTGAGTCGTGACGCAGGGTACCCTAACTCCCTTCTCCCAGAAACATGTCACCTGCCCACTGAGCCGTGATGCAGGGCACCCTAACTCCCTTCTCCCAGATGCGAGTCACCTTCCCACTGAGCCGTGACACAGGGCACCCTAACTCCCTTCTCCCAGGCTCAAGTCATTCTGCCACTGAGCCGTGACACAGGGCACCCTAACTCCCTTCTCCCAGCTGATTAGAGTCCTTATTCAGACTCAGGCATCAGGTGCTAATCGTTAGATCAGCTCAGTGCCCACAGGGGTACTTTAGCAAGACTAATGCTAATACTCATTTTGCAAGTGAGAAGATGGAGACTCTGTCCAGGGTCACATACTTCCTTAGGCACAGAGCCAGAAACTTGCTTTCTTGGCTCTTGATCTAGTGTCCTTTGCTGGGCAACTAGGGTTATTAGCCACAGATCTCCAGTCCAGAAATATGTCCCAATGGAGAAGGCCTGACTGCCAAACAGGAGCTGTGGAAAATTCATCGTTCCTGATGGTACATCGGTGCTCAGCTTCCTTCTCTCCATCTGCCACTAGTTGGGACTGATTTCAATTGTGTCTCCAAAAACTTTTTCCTAGGACAAGGGAGACGGTGTCTCCATGTCACCCGGCACAAATAATGAGGGGCAATGGAAGGACAATTAGAGCCTGACATTTTAAAGCTAAAAACCATGGCTGAAAAATCCTAGCTTTGCTGAAACTAGTGCCATCATAATTGCAGAGATTTTGGCCCCATCAGTGTACACTGGCCCCTACTCCTGAGAATCAAGTAATCATTCTGAGATCAGAGCTGAGCATGGGAGAATCACTCACTTATCTTTTCAAAATATGACTATGCTTCTCACAACATCCCAGTGGGATTTTTTCACAGGACAAGCAGAAATATTTAAATATTTCTCCTTCATTCTGAGAAGAGCTGCCTGGAAGGCCTGCAGATGGCAGGGAGACAAGCACCTGGTCACATGACTGGAGAAGCACAAACCCCATTTGCAGTGATGGGGTCCACCTTTAGATAAGGAAGGGTATCCATGGCCAAAGGAACAGCATGAGGGCTTACAAGACCAATTCTACCAAGACTTTAGAGTTCCCGATATTTTCTAATCAAATTAGTCTTCCTGCTATTTCTCTATCAAAGAAAGTAATAACTTTTTAGAAAATCTCAAGAGGGAACTAGGACGGTATCTGGCAAGGAATCATGCTTGAACATTTCTTCCTGTGGTGGAAGATTCTGCAGTGAAAAGACTCTGAGATGGGCTTTGAAAATAGTCTAAGGAATCTCAGACTAATCCTAATCTGGGTATTTCCACAAATTATGTGTGTGGAGAACTGTTCACTTAACATATGTGTTACCTAAGCAGGTAATGGTCACCAAACCAGTTGCAACTGAAGTGGCCGACTACAGGGTCTTGAGTCGACTCAGGACCTCTGACTGGTTTCAGCTGCGGGCACTGGAGACTGGAAAGATCAATTTATTTGAGGAGGATTGAAAAAACAAAGCCATCAAGTTTACATTTCAAATGCCCCCCTCGTTTTGTTTTTTTGAGATGGAATCTAGCCCTGTTGCCCAGACTGGAGTGTAGTGGTGTGATCTCTACTCACCACAACCTCTGCCCCCTGGGTTCAAGTGATTCTCCTGCCTCAGCCTCCAGAGTAGCTGGGACTATAGGTGCATGCTACAATGCCAAGCTAATTTTTTGTATTTTTAGTAGAGATGGGGTTTTACCATGTTGGCCAGGCTGGTCTCGAACTCCTGACCTTATGATCCATCTGCCTCGGCCTCCCCAAGTGCTGGTATTATAGGCATGAGCCACTGCGCCCAGCCGGTTATTCTTATAGGTGAAAATTTTCCAGGCTCAGATACATCCCAGAAAGCTTCCCAGTGTATATCCTGCTAACCTTAACCCAACAATTCTCAACTGGGAATGATTTTACCCATTAATCTGACTATGCAGACACTTGGCAATGCCAGGAGACATATATATATGCATTTTTTTGCCACAAATGAGGGGATGAGGTTCTACTAGAATCTAGTAGGAAAAGACCAGGAATACTGCTAAACATACTATAATGTAAAAGACAGCTCATGAACAACAAAAAATTATCTGGTTTAAAATGTCAATTGTGCCAAAATTGAGATACTCTGCCTTGATTGCACTATTAGAAAGTCCAATTGGTCTCCCATCCAAATACTAACCAGGGTCGACCCTGCTTAACTTCCAAAATAGGCACATTCAGAGTGGTATGGCCATAGACACTCAAAAGTGAGAGTTAAACAGTGAGAACACATGGACACAGGGAGGAGATCATTACACACCAGGGCCTGTCGGGGTGGCAGGGGAGGGAGAGGGAGAACATTAGGATAAATACCTAATGCATGCAGGGCTTAAAACCTAGATGATGGGTTGATAGGTACAGCAAACCACATGGCACAGATATATCTATGTAACAAAAGCCTGCAGGTTCAACACATGTATCCCAGAACTTAAAGTAAAATTTAAAAAACAAAAACAAAAAACAGAAGGTCCAGTTGATTCTGTCATTTGCATAGATTGTTCCAAGACTGGTAGCTCAACTTAAGGGCAACTTTGCTTTCTAAAGGCATAGCAAACCCAGTACCTCTTGGTCTCTCTCGATGCCCTGATTGTCTTGTAACCTGTTTGTCTTTGTCTTTCTTATCTTCCCGCAAGCCTTTTGTACAATCAGAAACACAACATCCTCCTTCTTCCCTGTCCTTTCCACTTCTTCATTCGTGTCAAGAATGTCCCTGGTTACATAAATGTCAAAGAAGTCTTTGGCCACAGCCTCAATGATACCTGCAGCAGAAGGACACCTATTGTCCAGGGATGGTCAAAGGCTATTGTATCAGCAAAAATCATAAAATAATCAAGCTGTAAAACCTCTGATGAATATTCTCATGTTTGCCAAGCCCTGGCCCTGCTTTAAATCAGGCATCAGTGACAGCCAACTAAATAAAAACATGCAGAGACTGAAGTTATACGTGTTTGGATACCATTAAATCCATGCCACTTTAATTTCTAGTTTGGTATTTGTTTGTTACTTGGTAGACATTTAACTGATTAAACAAACAAACTCTAGAGGTAATGTAAGCAAGATTCAGTTGTAAAAGCATTAAGGATTAAGTTTTAAAAACTGTTCCTCTGGGAATCTATCCCAGGGTTATATACAAAATATAGGAAAAGCATGGATGAAGATGTTCATGATAGCATTATTTACAATAGCAAAAGATTAGTAACAATTGAAAGTTTAATAATAGGAGATTAGTTAAGATAATTACAATATGCAATATCATTCGGCCATTTAATATGTGGTTTTAAAGACTGTGAAAACGTGGAAACATGCTTTTTCTACAATGCTAAATGCAAATGAAGAGTTGACACAATATATGCAGAATTATCACAACCATCTAAAAACTGTAATATTTAAAATGTTGAAAGAAAAATACAAATTATCACTTTTTGTGGAATTTTGGAAACTTACTTTAAAAGCTCAAGGACTTTGGGAGCAGTGGTCAAGATGATATAAAGTCACACATGCTAAGAGAGTTTTAACCTCTTACCCACAGCCAGCTATTAGCTATCCTGGACAATCTGTGGGGAAATTTTCCTCACTTCAGAGGTCCCATAGCTCTGGGGCCAGCTAAACCATTTCCATACCTGGGACAATGTGGCACAGACCACTTCTATCTGAATAGTAATGGAGAAACATTTTCCCATCTGTTCCTCTCTCCACACGAAACGATGGTGCATTCATCTCCTAATTAAAAGACACACATTTTTCCCAGTGGACACAAATTATGTAAATTATGCTTTTGAGGCTTTGTGAAACAATAGTATTTATTCATTCCATCATACAGAACTATATCCCAAACCTCTCTCCAATTACATAAAAACTCCCATGGTTCCTGCTCCTGTATGTCAGGAATTTTATACTATACCTACCGTACTTTAAACAACTCTGTATGGCAAGTACTAGTTCCATTTTAGAGAAAGAAAATAAGACTCGGGGAAGGTAAACCTAGATCAATGGTAGAACGACATTTGATCCCCAAATGAGCCTTTGCACCATGCTGTTTCTATCCATATTCCAAGAACAGCTGGCTGCTGGTAACAGGAAGCCTTAGTGAGTCTCTGCCATGCTTGGTCTGTGACCAAGTGACCATGGGCATCTTCACTCTCCAATACATCATGGAATCAGAGGAATTTGCAAGTAGAACTAATCAATTTTTTGTTCTGGAAGGATAATGTCATCTGTGATGGCAATTTAGACATTTAGAAAGTAGAACCTTCAAGGATACATCAGAAGAGATCCCCTTTCTCCAGAAATAAATGTTGACATTCAAGTACGTATTATGTCACAGTAAATGAGATGAACACTAGGAAAGAAGGACAGAGACTTTGCCTGGGTAGTCTCTATCTAGTTAGTAGGCAACTCAGTACCCTGGACACACAGTTTTTGGTCCAAGTGAGGGAATAGGTAAAGGAGATGGGTTCCTTCCAAGATCTTCCATGGTAAAAGGCTAATAGTTAAAATGGGTTTCATTTTTTCCCAAACACTTTATCTTTTTTTTTTTTTTTTGAGACGGGGTCATGCTCTGTTACCCAGGCTGGATTGCAGTGGTGTGATCACGGCTCATTGCGGCCTCTGCCTCCTAGGCTCAAGTGATCCTCCCACCTCAGGCTTTCAAGTCACTGAGACTACAGGCATGCCACCACCATGACCAGCTAATGTTTTTTTGTATTTTTTTTTTTTTGTGGAGTTGGGCCTTTGTTGTGTTGCCCAGGCTGGTCTCAAACTCCTGGGCTCAAATGATCTTGCCCACCTCAGCTTCTGAAAATGCTGAGATTACAGCACTTTTCAGTGAGCCACCCCTCCCAGACTTCAAATACTTTTTGTTTATAATTCCAAAAGTATGTACCTAGAGAAAGTACCTATATTTATTTGTATATATGTGTGTTTACATCTTGACTAAATGTAAAGAGTAGTCAAGGCAGCACATATAAAAAGCATTGATAAAACAGGAAATTAAGTTAATTTAAAAATTATATCCAAATCCTACATAGTGAAAATAAAGTAAGGGATCACAGAAGGCCTGAAAGAAAGTCCACAAGATCCTGCTTCATACCCCTCACTCCTTACCCCCAGCCCAGAGACACTTCCAAAAGTTTTTGCTTTTAGTTCTTCTGGTCAGTGTCACTAAGTCTCTAAACAATGTAGTTATACTTTTATTTCTTGATTAAAATAGGGCTTTTTAAAAGTGGAGAATTAGGGCAAAGAATAAAAGAATCAAAAAATATTTTTCCTAAAGAGACAATTTATAATACTTTGCCCAGAAGAAAGCACTATAAAGCTGTTAGGTATCATTACAGAACAGAATAGAAAGCCCAGAAATAAAGCCATACACCTAAAGCCATGTGATCTTTGACAAAGTTCTCATTGTTCCAAAGAATAATGAGAACAGCACAGACCAGGGTCTTCGGAGACATACGTGAGTTTAGGTCCAGGTCAGCCACCACACCTGGGTGATTTGGGGACAGTTACTTGACCTTTCTAGACCTCAGTTTTCTCCTCTGTATAGTAGGAAAAACAAGACTGCCCACTCTTAGGGCATCAAGAGGATAAGTCAATGTGGACACATTACTTAGCCCAACACCTGCCTCATTAGCACTCAATAGAAGTTAGCTAAAGCATAACAAGATTAAAGGTTCAGTTATAATCAAAAATGTATGTCTTAAAGGCACTACCAAATTACTAGATAGACACAAAAAAGTGAACATTATCTTATTTTGTTATTTTTGCCTAAAGAGACAACTTATAATACTTTGCCCAGAATAAAGCACTGTACAGCTGTTAGGTATCATTGCATGTATTTTCTTCCAACTTGTATATTATGAGATCTAAATATTTTATTTATCTTATTATATGCAAAATGTCCTCAAATACCACCAGATAAGTTCCATTCTATTGCTTCTCTATAGCATCACTGATGAGTGGGAGCTAAACATTGAATACATGTGGACATAAAGATGCAAATACAGACACGGGGGACTACTGGAGGAGGGAGGAAGGGATGGGGGTCAAGGATTGAAAAACCATTGGTTGCTATGCTCACTACCTGGGTGTCAGGCTCAGTCATACCCCAAACCTCAGCATCATGCAATATACCCACATAAAAAACCTGCATATGTACCCTCTGAATCTTTACGAATAAACTGAAATTATTAAAAAGCAAAGAAAAAAATATCACAGAAAAAAAATATATGTATTACAAAAAATATTAAAGGGCCCTAATTGTATTCTTTATATCCTAATTGCTGTGCTTTAGCTAAGAAATTGAAAGGAAGTTGCCCTGCAAATTATCATAATTCTTAAACTGGCCATATTGAATAGAGAGAAAACAAAGGGGAAAGAATAGAGTTATTATTTATTTATGGAAAGCTGATTTTCTGGGCTGATTACAATGTTAGAGACATTTACGTCTTAGCTCTTGTAATCCACACATTGCTATGAGGTAGGTTATTTTCTTCCTTATTTCTTTTCTATTCTGTTCTTTAATGATACCTAACAGCTGCTTGTGTCCAATGCCTTAAAAAGTGCTTGAGACATAGGATCACTCAGTAAATACTAGTCACTCAATAAGTAGTTATTAAATAAAATAAATTGAGATTCAGAGATGGCAACTAACTTGCCCAGGATCACACAGCTGGTAAGTTGTAGAGCCAGTGGGACAGCCACATGGGCCCCTGTGACCCCATAAGCAGGGCTCTTTCCACTCCCTCTACCCTCGAGTAGTTCACATGATAACAACAGAACAGACCCAACTATTCATGCCCAACTATTCATGCCCAACTATTCATGACTCATAAGTGAAGTCAATTAAGGTTTCCAAGCCTCTGATTCCTTATATGAAAAATGGAGAAAATAATGCTTTGCCCATTTATCGTCTATAAAAGGGAGTAATGGTTGCTGAGGCTTTTTAGCATCTGCAATCCTGTTTTGTCCCCATGACAACCCTGAAAGGGTGGATATGAACACCAATATAGAAAAAAGATCTTGGTGAAATATAAGGCCCTAAAATTAAACTATTTTCTAAAAGTAATAAACTGTTATTATGACATATATAAATGTTCCTTAAACTTTTCTTGACTAAAAAATAAAAGACAGTCTAGGCATTTGAATTTCCAATGATCTCTACAAACAAGAAACCCAAGGAAAGCACTCCAATGGACATATCCCAGTAGGGAAATTAGTTTCTTAACACCTCAGTCGGTCACCCATGGGTTAATCAGAGTTAGATGGTTTCCGATTCTGGCTCTGAGCCCTGTCAAGTCTTCATTTCTGATACGTGAATAATATGAATCTGGCTGCATATGCAATTTATCAACTCCATCCCAGCCAGGAAACCTTAGGAGAGCTTTTGCAAATACACTGAAACCTGACTGTTTTCCAGCCTTTGTTCCAATTGCAATCAGTCTCCAGGATTTAATTCCAAATCCACACCAGCCCCTATCTGAAAAGGCCATCCCTTCAGTTTTTGTGGGCCAGTTTGTAAAAGTGGCCAACAGGTGTTTCTTTTTCATTCTCTTCCAAAAAGAACTCCTGGGCCCACCAACACCAGGGACCAAGGATTCTGCAGATGGGAGGGTTCTCCCGCAACTGCGCATCTAATGGGAGAGGCGGGGAGCTGGCCCAGCAGGACTGCAACAGCATTTGTTTCCTCTTGGGCAGCCAAGACCAAACGCAAGTGGCCTTACCTGATAGGAGAGTGCCAGGTAACTGTGGAGGGCATCCACGTTTTCAATAAACTCCATGAGATTTCCTCCGAGTGTCCGAAGCATCCTGTCATAGCCAGACATCTTACAGAATTGAAAGAAGTATTCTCCAAAGAGTTTGAGGATGGCTTCCATGGAGACTCCTGTAGCATTCAAAGCATACCCCCTAAAAAAATCCCCCCGGAAGTGTATGCTGTCCTTTGTGTGGTCTTCATTTATTTCCGGGAGTTTCGCATCCTGGCTGTGTGACCCTATTGAGCTACGCTCTAAGCCATCACTTTCCTCATCAGTAAAATGCAAATAATCACCTCCATGTCATGGGGCCTTTGTGAGGAGCTCAGTGCAGCCCAGCACTGGGTAGGTGCTTGTGAAACCTGAGTCTCCATGACAAATATTTCCTCAAAGTCAAGAGGGGATGCAGAGATGCTGTGCCTGCTTAGCTGCTGAAGCCAGGGCCCAGACAAGCTTCACTCTGGGTGGGGAGGGCGCGGCCCTCCACAGTCACGCCCAACATCTCCCACATCTTTAAATATGAACAGTAACAAGAATGCAAGGCCGCCTCTGCGAAATAACTAATACGCAATGAAAATACTATCCCTTCAAGGCTATAGGATCCTGATTTACCAAAAAGATGATACCAGATACTTACAGTGACTTTCCCTTTCTCTCCCAATCTCATCAGATCCTGGCCTCCCTGTGAGGCCCGGCATTCACATTCCATTCTCCGTAAAGATTTCTCTCAATAGCCCAGGTCACGCTGAATTCTCTCTTCCTAAGTGTTGCATTTTGTTTCTTCCTAACTCATGGTAATTCTGGAGAGAAGCAACCTGGTCCTACATGTTTTCTGCGCTAATTACAAAGTAGGTGCCTGATGAACACTGGGGGTAGATTTGCAGTTACGGGGGCTGCTGCCCACTTCCCACCCTCCCCGGTCTGCACTATTGGAATAGACAGTGAGCAATTGTTCGCTTTATTGCAGAGACTGTAAACAATTTTTTCCTTCTTTTTTGAAACAGAATTTTGCTCTTATTGCCCAGGCTGGAGTTCAATGGCATGACCTTGGCTCACCGCAACCTCCACCTCCTGGGCTTAAGCTATTCTCCTGCCTCAACCTCCCAAGTAGCTGGGATTACAGGCATGTGCCACCACACCTGGCTAATTTTGTATTTTTAGTAGAAATGGGGTTTCACCATGTTGGTCATGCTGGTCTTGAACTTCTGACCTCAGGTAATCCACCTGCCTCAGACTCCCAAAGTGTAATCACAGGTGTAAGCCATCATGCCCAGCCTGCCAGCAAACATTTTTAAAGAATATTTTATAGTTATGAAAACACACATTAATTAAGGTTCTTTTACTCAATACTTGCCAAGCTCTTATAAGTTAGCTAACCTTATTATCATGTCCTTTTTACAGCCTAGCCTATGGGGGCTGAGTCTTCTTTGTGAATTGACTTCAGTGACAGAGTTGCAGAGGCCAGTTTGTTGAAGAGGCTCCAGCTCTAATTTCAGTGCTTTGTGTACCACATCCCCCAGCCTCTGAAGCAGCAATGAAAGAAGCAAGGAGTCTCCCCAAGGCAAGGGCTGCTTATGCGTTGGCATCGTTGACACAGGAGACAGGGCATCCATCCATGCTGCTGGCCAGGAGCTCCTGTGAGAAACCTCCTTATTTACAATGGGGCTGTGACACATGAAAGCCCTGGGGGCTGGGGCAAATGTCCGTAGTGCTCAGGTTTATGGAAGGCCTGAAGAAGTCACAATCTCCAGTACCTATGGTTGCATCCTTGAAAAACTCTGTGATGCTCTGGCTGGATGTGGAATTCACAGCAAGGGACATTCCAGGTCTCCTGAGCTATCAAGGGCTAAATCTGACAGAGGACAGACCAAGGAAGTCTGGGCATTCTCCAGCCCCTGCTTGCTTCCTAGGATGGTCTGAAGAGCAGATTCCCTACAACTCATAGTCCACAGCCAGACCATGGGGCAGATAATTCTGTCATCTGAGCAGGGTAGAGTCCCCACTAAATCGGTCTAGTTTTGTCAGAGATGAGTTATACATATTTTCCAAAAATTGATTATCCTCATCTGAATCTAGACAAAGCTTGGGAAGGCAGAGGAAGCCGTGGTAATGGCCTTTGTTAACTGCCTCCGTTGGGTTCTTTGCTTGTGGGTGCATCCTGGCTGGCTGCAGGCAGGCTTGTCTTTACCAGTATTCAGGGGCCACCTGCTAACTCCTAGGGGATCTGAGACAAATTCTACCAAGTTCCTTTCCAATGCTTGAGTCTCTGGAAGGAGAATTGCTAAAATGTAAATGGACAGATGCAAAATTGTCCTTCTGTTCTCCTGCTTCCATCCCTCTGTTCCCTCTAAATCTAGCTTATTCAGACTGAGAATAAACAGCTGTGCTGTGCAGCCTGGAGGCCAGAGCTCTGAGCAGGTGTATCCTGTTACCTGCCAGGAAAAGCATGGGTCCCAGTGGCCCCCCTTCTCCCAAGGACCACTCCCAGGAGGACTGGGCTGCCTGTAAGCCAAGTAAAGTTATATTCAAGTGAGAGTGTCAGCTTTGGGTAAAAGACTGCCTGTTTGACTTTAAAATCTTTAAACTTACAAAAACCCAGGAAGTTGTTTGTTCCAGGCTCTGGTTATTTTGTCTGTGGATGCCCAGCTCTGTTAACAGGAAAGGACATCTGGCTGAGATGTACTGTTTCCCAAACAAGGGTCTTGGATTTGAATGCGATATTTTCCACCTGTAATGGATCTAAAGCTGCTTCTAGAATTCTTAGTTGAGAATGCTTGTCCAGCAGAGGACAAATCCCTCTTTAAAAAAATATCAACACCTGTCTTAGTCTTTTATACAGTTTTGCCTCACTGTATTTAAGATTCTAAGAGCCTGCTAAGTCATGGGGGACAAAGATATATAGGAAATGGTTAGAAACTGCAAGAAAGAACTAAACTAACTTAGATGCCTTAAAATGTTTTTTGACAGTGCGGGGCAGGGGGGAATTTATACTATGTTTAGTATTCTTTCATGTAAGAAAGAAGGGAAAACAGGGAAATAATCATCTGTCTGCCTACTTGTACAAAATTAAACCCCTGAAGAATAAACCTGGATCTATTGAGATTAGTTACCTACAGGACATTGGTGGGAATGGGGGTGGAAAGATTAGAAAAATTGTGGAGTTGAGGGGAAATGACATTTTCTTGAGCATAACTTTTTGAGGCCAGGAGCGGTGACTCACACGGTAATCCCAGTTCTTTGGGAGGCTGAGGTGGACAGATCACCTGAGGTGGGGAGTTCGAGACCAGCCTGACCAACATAGAGAAACCCCATCTCTACTAAAAATACAAAATTAGCCAGGCATGGTGGTAGGAGCCTGTAATCCTACTCGGGAGGCTGAGGCAGGAGACTCGCTTGTACCTCGGAGGTGGAGGTTGTGGTGAGCCAAGATTGTGCCATTGCCTTCCAGCCTGGGCAATAAGAGTGAAACTCCTTCTTAAAAAAATAAACAAAGTAAATTTTAAAAAAGGGTTCTGGTTTGGGGAGTCATGTTAATGTTTCATATGCTTAAAATAAATAAAATATAAGATCCACAAAGATAGAGAAAACTCCTAAGACAGAATACAAACAGAAACGAATTCACAGAATAGCATTTCAACAGAACAGTTTTGAATAACATAATTACCCAGGAAAAAAATTAACCCAGTAATATTTGAGCATAGCATTTACACTGCTGTGTCCTCAAGCCCAAACAAAAAGAACTTTAAACAAATATTTGACTGTAGTTAAGTAGGCTTCCTTTCCACAGCCATGTGGGCTAGCAATTCTGAGACTATGCTGTGAACATTCACGGATTGAGAATACAAGTAAATATATTGTGGATAGCGGGAGCCAGGTTTTTCACTATCTGAGAATGAAGTTACAGTTATGGAAAGGGGAGGAATAGAATGAACCCTGTGCCTCTGGATTCGAAAATCTAACATAATAAAACAATGAAACCTATCATGGTTATAGATAGATAGATAGATAGATAGATAGATAGATAGATAGATAGATAGATAGACAGACAGATAGATGTGTGTGTATATGTGGGTGTGGGTGTGTGTATATGACATCTGTTTTCCAGCACTGCCCACTGAGAGGGCCTAAGAGCAGTGACAGCCCAGTAGCAGTGGGCTTACCTAAAACTTCTTGGTTTTTAAATGTCCTTCTGCAGTAAAAGGAATCAGGGCCTTGAAGAAATGGCAGATTCCAGGGCTGGGGCAGGGAAAGGATGAGATCAGCCTGTAACATCTTGTTATGCAAGAAAGTAAAGAAGTGATCAACGAATGATGAGGACATGTCAGAAGGACACAGCGGCCGGTTTAGGGGCTCTCACTGGCTCACTCTTGCAGCATCAAAATAAATAACAAAAGGAAAGGATTACAACCTATTTTTAAAAAATAACAATCACAAATCTGCATTGATATAAGTAAATAAGTGGGGGAAAGGCGGGAGATTCTTCCTTACAGAAACTCAACGAATAAATACAAAAGGAATAATATTCTCAGAAAATCACCATTTGACTTCCATCATAAGTATCAATTCAGACAAGAATCACAAATAAATACTAAAATTAGGAAAGAGGGAGTTTCAGAAATGACAAGATATTTGCATAATCTGAAAGTATCTCCTCACAAGATACTAATTACAAAGGGAAAAGGGTGACTTTGCCATGGAGAAGCTGGCAAATTCTACATAAACCAGGGATCAAAGTTAGCATCACTAATAACAGGACAGATCAATGCAATATGCCTCCTAATGTGATAAACTGGGAAGGACAAAAGATCACATATGTAATCTGCCTACCAATAAAGTATATCCTGAATTATATCATGAGGAATATCAGATAACCCTGAATTGAGGAACATTTTGCAAAATAGCTGACCATAACTTTCCAAAGACACTAAGTTATCAAACATAAAGACACTCAGAAACTGTTCCAAGCCAAAGAATACTGAAGAGACATGATAACTGACATGATCCACAATTTCCTTTTGTTCTAAAGGACATCACTGGGTCAACTGGAAAAATCTCAGTAAGGTCTATAGATTAGATAATAGCACCATATCTGTCTTCATTTCCTGAGTTTGACTGTTGTACTGTAGTTATTTAAGGGAATTTTTAAGGAAAGAAAGCATCACATTTGCAATATACTAACAATTCACGAAAAAAGTATAAACATAGATACAAAGAGAAGGATAGACACTATAAAGTAAAATGTCAACATTTGGGGAATATGGATAAAGACTTTATGGGAATTCTTCGTACTATTCTTGTAAACCTTTTGTAAGTTTGAAATTATGTCAAAGTAGAAAAGATTTTGTTGATTGCTCTGAAAAGACCATAGGGAATCTTACATAATAAGATCATAAAGACCATGTTTATCCATGGCCAGCTGAAATACAGCTGCAGCCCAGACCACTGTAATGTTATAAATTTTGTTAGTTACAATCAGGGCATTATCATTATATTTTTAATGTATTTTTCTTGTTAGAGACCCATGTTGAAATATTTATGAATGAAATTGTGAAAAACCCGGTAATTGTTTTAAGACACTCCAGAAAATATAAAACCAGAAAAAGAGTGGAGGAGTCAGATGACATAAGATTGGCAAAATATTGTTAATCAGTGAAGCTGGGTGGAGGGTATGTGGGTTTCTGCACACAATTCTCTCTCCTTTTGTGAATGTATTAAAACATGTTTAAAATAAATAAATAAAGGGCGTGGAGTTTTTGTTGTTGTTGTTTGATTGGCATTTTTTGGAGACAAGGTCTCGCTCTGTTGCCCAGGCTGGAGTGCAGTGCACCATCACAGCACACTGCAGCCTCAACCTTCCCAGGCTCAGGTGGTCCTCCTGCCTCAGCCTCCTAAGTAGCTGGGAATACAGGTGTGTGTCATCATACCTGGTTAATTTTTGTATTTTTTTGTAGCGATGGAGGTTCTGCCATTTTGCCCAAGCTGGTCTTAAACTCCTGGGTTCAAGTGATCCACCCACCTTGACCTACTAAAGTGCTGGGATTACAGCACCTAGCTAAGACTTTTTTTTCTGGGAGAAAAATGATGATCACAAAGCTTCTATGCTCGGCTCCCCAGGTGTGGAGACCTCTAACAGGCTTTTACATTGGAATGTTGCATGAACTCACACTTTCTGACTTAACAAGCGTGGGTCTTCTTTGTCATTCGAAAACATTTACTTCTTGCTGGGTTTCAGCTCAAGATACTGGTAAGAGTAGAGTTGGGCTGTCCAGGGCAGGGAGACAGAGGGCACCTGCTGAAGTCCCAGTGAGGTTGGCAGTAACACCACTGCTACCAAAGCAGAGCCTCCTGGGCAACCAGCCCACTCAGGGCCAGACTTTCCAAGACCCCTGCCCACCTCCCATCACCCAAGTCAGAGGCAACAAGAGCTATTCCTCATGGCACCCTTCCTGAGTCACCGAGCGAAACATATGCTCTTCAACAGGAAAGGGAAGTACATGCTCTACGTTTGACAAAGTTTTTCCATTGAAAATGGGTAATTTTCCCCCCTAAAGCGTTGGTACCCAAAGGATACGCTTCAGGTATCTGAAAAGAGCCATAATCTCACATACTCTTTTTCTCCAATAATATCACAAATGTCAGGCATGAGATCGTTCATGGGGAAATATTTTTGAGAAGGAGAAAGAGGAGTTTATGAAAAGGAAAGAAACAGCTACCCACATCCATGCTGTAGTTTGCAAAGTGGAAGAAGACTCTAAATTAGGAGGGTTGGGTTTCAGAAGTGGTCGTAAGTTTACTCAGGCATAGAGAAAAAATAAAACTGGAAGTTGAGCAAGGTAGCTCAGGAAGCTGGTGCTCTGCAGAGATGAAGCAGTCCCACTGAAGCCTGGTAGAGAAGAAGCCGCCCGGTTCCCGTCAAACCTGGGAACAGAGTAGTCAGCTCTACTCTGTTCCCAGGTTTGACGGGAACCCACAGCAGAGGGCCAGGGGTCTATCAGGTGATGAGGAAGGGTGAGGGGCAGGGCGAGGTACCTTGTTGTGTACCCACTTGGTGTCAGGCATTTTGCTCATCTTATTTGATTTCTCCTGAGGGATAGAGGAAGCCCCCTGGGTTGTCGTCCTACAGAAGAAATCAAGTAAGGTGAGCAAAATGTCATAGGTATCATTGCTGCATTACCGGGGAGCATTTGCCCTAGATTACTTTATCAGGAGATGGTACAGCAGGGGTTTTGCCCAGGTCTGTCTGATTCCAAAGCTCTGGCTCTAGACGTTGACTTCCCCTCCAGTCTGTGGGATTCAGCGCCAGCCTTGGAATCAGGAGACATGAATTTAAGTCTACATTCATGATTGCACAGCCTGGGTTACTTGTCCCACTCTCAGAGGGTATGGTAAAGAGCAGACGTTATAATGCCCAATTTCAAGACTCTGTCAATTTTATGTTGTTGTTCTTATTTTTAAAGGGGTGAGTGCAGAGAGTTTTGCTGGCATTTGCTGATAGCTAACTGTTGAAACACATTTTACCATGGGTGTCTTCGCAAGCAAAGTCTAGACGGACACAGCTGTGCCAAATGGCTGTTGTGTGTTGTTTTGAATTTTGTCACTTCAGATTACTAATAACCCACTTACACACTAAGTAGGCACTTATTCATATACAGAACAATTCCTTATGCAGTGCTCAACCTGCCATCTGGTCCCCTCCTGAATTATGCTAATTGGAAAGCACAGAGCTATGCAGTGGCAGAGTGGTCTGGAAAAGTCCCAGCAATTGCTTCAAGGTAGGGAAATTGCATTCTGAAGCCCAGATGGAAAGCAAAGCCCTCGCTAGTGGTGACTAAGCATGCTTTTTCCTTTGTCAAAGGGAGGAGTTAGTTTCAACCGACCAGCATATTTTGTTAGAGAGTAAAATGTCCTTCCTGTAGCCTTCCCTTTGGCTGGGTCTTGCTCTCTCAGAGTCTCGGGAGTTGTAGACATACAGAGTTACCATGGGCTTCCTGGGGCTGTCCTGATTCCACAGCTCATGCATGTGTTAACTTGATGTTGCGAACCAATTTTTTACTTAAAAAATGCATTCACCATACTCATTTACTCTTTCAAATAGATATAGACCAATAGATGCTACGGAAATAAACGACAAGAAGAGAAGACTTCTGATACTCAAAGCTGGATACAGAGAAACCACAGCGATGTACATTGGCTTTTGGTGGAAAGGGGATATGGGCCAACCCATACCTTGGTCTATAGATTGGCTGCTGTCTCTACACATGTTGGTTGGGTTGGAAATGTGATGGCAGCGGGGCAGGTATATGATGGCATCTCACTGCTGAAGGCACTGCCACATGGTTTGATGCCCACCGACAGCCACAAAAATGGACTGGGGTGATATGATATATACACAGCATTTCTTTCTGGAGATATACAAGCTGATTCAAGTTCTTATATTAGTCCACTGGGGCCATGATGACAAAATACCATAGATTGGGTGGCTTAAACAGCAGTTATTTATTTTCTCAGAGCTCTGGAGGCCAGAAGTCTGAGATCAAGGTGATAACATGGTTACTTGGGTTATAGAAGGCCACCTTCTCACCAGGTCCTCATGTGACAGGGAAAGAGAGAGCCAGCACTCTGGTATCTTTCCTATAAGAGCTCTAATCCTATCATGAGGGCCCCACCCTCATGAGTTCATCTAAACCTAATTAATTCCAAAAGGCCCCATTTCCAAATATGAATTTGGGACATGGAGGCATAATTCAGTCCATAACAGTTCTTAGGTTAAAAGTTATTTTTAGACTCTTGAAAAAGATCTGCAGCAATCCTTGAGAGCATGAAATAACAAACTTTTCCTGTAACGGGCGGATGGTAGCTAGTGAATGTTTTCAGCTTTGCTAGTCATATGGTCTCTGTTGCAGCTACTTAGCCCTGCCACTATAGCTCAAAAGCAGCTGCAGATAATGTGTAAACAAAGGGGCATGGCTGTGTTCCAATAAAACTCGATTTATCCAAATAGGCAAGGGCCCAGATCTGGCCCATGGGCTTTATGTAATTTGTTGGCCACTCATCAGCAAGCTCAGAGCATATAGATATAGACATGGATTCTTTTTTTGAGATAGAGTTTCACTCTGTCCCCCAGGCTTAAGTGCAATGGCTCGATCTCGGCTCACTGCAGCCTCCGCCTCCCAGGTTCAAGCTATTCTCCTGCCTTAGCCTCCTGAGTAGCTGGGACTACAGAGGTTCCCCACCATACCCAGCTAATTCTTTTTTGCAATTTTAGTAGAGACAGGGTTTCATCATGTTGCTGAGGCTGGTCTTGAACTCCTGACCTCAAGTGATCCACCCACCTCTGTCTTCCAAAGTGTTGGGATTACAGGCACAAGCCACCACGCCTGGCCCATAATTTATTTTATTTTATTTTTAAGTTCCGGGGTACATGTGCAGGATGTGCAGGTTTGTCGTATAGGTAAACTTGTGCCATGGTGGTTTGCTGCACAGATCAACCCATCCCCTAGGTATTAAGCCCAGCATGCAATTAGCTAATTTTCCTAATGCTCTCCTTCCCCCTGTCCCCCACAACAGGCCCCAGTGTATGTTGTTCCTCTTCCTATGTCCATGTAGAAAATAATTTTTTACCACAGCCATTGTAGTGAACAGCAAAGCCTATCTCTTCTGATAAGAAACAGTATCCAGAGGTACAAAACATAGAAATACCCCCACCTTTCCTTCAGATTCAACATTCAGCTGACATTTACTGAAGTCCCAGTCTGTGCCATGCATGTTGCTAAATGCCTTCCATTTGTTATTTGATTTAATTAATTCCTTCCCACAACCCTGTAAGGTATTATTCCTTTTGCAGGAGATCAACTCTCAATGAAATTCTAGCCCAAGGTCACACAGCTGGTGTGACAGAAAAGAATCCACCCTCCATTCTCATTCTGGAATAACAAGATGTTCTTTGGCAGAGGGCTCAGATCACATCAAGACTGCACGATACAGCCACACGTCCTTCTGCTGCTGGGATCCCCTGGAATAAAACCAAGAAAAGACTAAAGGTGGGCTTAATTGCACTCCCCATTCTAAGCTTTTTTGCCCTTTCATTTCCTAGGCTCTGTCAAAACTCCAGCTTTTCAGCTCTAAAGTAGTCACCTCTCATTACAGAGTTTCCACCTAAGGATTTGTATTCTTTCTGTGGAGGGAAGGTAACTAGATATTCTTCTTACTTAACTGGAAGAAAGGAGGCAGTTGCAAACCATTGGACTTTCTTGTGGCCCTCCAGACCTCACTGAGATCACAGATGTGCAGAATTGTCAGCTGCAAAAGCAGCACCTGGGCTTTGCATAGGCAGGGTGGTACATATTAGGATCAAGACAGGATCTGTCTGTCTGGTTTGAAAAAGCACATTTAGCATCATCATCACGTACTTTAAAAAAATTAAAGAAAATAAAACAGATAATCTCTTTGGCAGGAGTGTCAAGCAAGAAGGCTGAGAGGTGTCCCCCTGGGGTGGCTGTGCTGCTGCCACCGAAGGCCATAGCTGGATAGCAGAGCTGAGTCTAGAATCCAGTCTCCAGACCCGCAGCCCCTGGGAGCAGCCCAGTGCTGTAAAGAGCACACACCTTGCGCTCAGACTCGAGCACAGAAAGCCCGATGCTGCATGCTTTTTGATAACCCAGCACCGCAGAAACCTCCCCTGGTGTTAACTGCTGGAGAGACAAAGGGGCCTGAAAGTGCCCCCAAAACAGGATAGACAGGATAGGGGTTAGGCTTGCAGATATTGCTGACACTCCCCAGTTCCTGGGCCAGCTTTGGCCTAGAATCTCTCTCAGTGTAAGCTTCTTTGGAGAGTGGAGTTGGTGGGTGGATTCAGAGAGAGGCCCTGCTGTGATTCTTGGGAGGCTACGTGAGCCCTGTCTGCCAGCTGCCTCCAAGTGCTGCCGTGAAGGGAGGCTGGGAACGGCTTTGGGAGGCATCCAGGAGGTGTTGCTGCTTTGGCCCCTGAGTTCCAGGAACTGAAGGAGCAAACGACTGTTTCACTCCTCATTGGCTGATTTCCAGCCTCAGACACAACATTGGTTCTATCAAAAGGTGCAGGTGGGCAGTGACTAGGGGCTAACACACATCTAGTTGGAAGTTGTTTTAACAACTAGTTAGGGCACCAGATTCCTCCTGGCTCTGATCACCATCACCTGCCGGGCCTCGTTGGCAGCTCTGGCCCCTGCTTGGCTCTGTAGCTCCAAGAGAGCAGCCCGATGAGATGGGATAGCAGGTGGCCCAGAGTGGGTGGGGGAAGCAGGTAACCACCTGTTACCAGAGAGGACTCAGCACCATACACACCCAGCTTCCGCAGCCTCAATGACTTCCCCCCCCCCAGCTTGGCAGAGACTTTGGGCCTCTCCTGGATTCAGATCCCTGGAAGGTGTTCTGCATCCAGGAGATGAGCAGGAACATGGAACAGATGTAGATGTCAGTCACCTCGCTGTGTGAAAGCCATAGAAAAGCCCTCTCATCTGTCAGATCCAGTTGCCTGTGAATAAAGCTGTCTTTATCTTTTTAATCATCAGAGAATGTTTCTCAAATTCAAAGAAAAGGGAAATAAGCTCAGTGCCTCACATGACACAGGCACTTTACACATCATTGCTGCGCTCTGGAGAAGCCACATGTCCCTGCGGGCTTAGCATTACCTAGCTTCCCTGGTGTCTTCTCAGGCATACCCACTGGGCTGATTACTGCGGTACCTGCCACTGACTTGAACCTATTATCATTTCACAAGTTGTTCCTGAGAATGGCAAGCCAATTTGCTAGGCCCTCAGACACACCATGAAACCAACTCAAAACCATGACCCCTGCTGCCTGACCCTCTGCGGGCTGCGTAAGAGCCAGCTTGAACGCCCCCAGGACTGGGCCTAGCCTGACGCTTCCAACAAGGCTGTATCTGGGTGCCAGGTGCCAGGTGCCAGGCATGAGGGTTGATGCAGTGTCTGCCTGAGATCATCCCTAAAGGTCATCTCACACTCTCACAGTGACCCAAGGCAGCACAGCCTGTGAGGAGCGGGTGAAAGAAGTTCAATGGGAATGGAAAGAGGGACCTCATCAAAGACCTTGGAAGTATGGAGCGGGGCTTCCACTGCCTGCACAGCTCCCTGGAACCTGGGACAGAGGAGGCTGCCTTCCCCTCTCTCCCCTCAGGCCTGCCCCGGCTCAGTGTGTATTCAGTGCTGGTGAGAAGGAAGAATAAAGAAAGGGTGTACCAGGTTGAATAGTGTGTCCCCAAATTCATGTCCACCCAGACCCCAGAATGTGACCTTATTTGAAAAGAGAGCAGATGTAGCTACTTAAAATGAGGTGAGGTCATACGGGATTAGGGTGGGCCCTAAACCCAATGGCTGCTGTCCTGAGAAGGTCACATGAACACACAGGGATGAAGGCCTCGTGGAGATGGGAACGGAGACTGGGGAGATGTGTCTACAGGCTAAGGGATGCCAGCAACCCTTAGCCTGGGAGAGAAGCAAGAGACAGTTTCTCCCTTGAGCCTCCAGAGGAGTGAACCTGGCCAACACTTTGACTTTACACTTCTGCCTCCAGAACTTGGAGAGAATAGATGTTTGCTGTTTGAAGCCACCTAGTTGCCGGTACTTCGTTATAGCAGCCCAGGAAACACGGATGCAAGAGAGGCAATAAGGAAGGAGGGAAGGAAGGGAGGGAGGGAGGAAGGGAGGGAGGGAGGGAGGGAGGGAGGGAAGGAAACATGAATGCTTTTAGCCAACCCAGAACAAGTCTGTGCTCTATGTTCTTGTCTTAGTTCTCATACTACGTATATTAAATATATTGTTTTTAACAGAAGCACACATGAAACAAAGTTATGCATTGACTGGTTAATAAAAATGTTGTGACCAGAGACTTTCAGGAAATGAACCCTGTATTTCCCCTGGGAGTAATGGTTCGGTATTCACTAATTCAGTATTGCAGCAGCTTTATAGACTATAACCACTGCAAATAATGAGAATCAACTGGATTTTGTTAGGGCAGCTCTAAGAAAGCAAAACAAGTTCTTTCACTTACCCAAAATCTTGCACGCCTCCTGGATGGGCTTAATGGTGATGATGTCATCATACACTGTGTACGTCATGAAGGCATCTTGTACTTCTGCAGAAGTTCTGGAAGATAAATCAAGGTGCAATGAATGCTCATCGGCTGGAGCTTTGACCCAGGAATATATCCACTGACCCAGCAAGATATAATACAGCAATAACCTTCTTGATCATAAGGAATGTGAAACACTGGAGTATTTGGGTATCAACTCCTCCAAGAAGCTCTCCCTGGACCTCAGTTTGAGCCCAGACATCCCTTCTCAAGTGCCCAGGATAGGCTATGCATTTCTACAACTTACGTAAAGATTGTTGGTCATACCCACTAGCCTGGGCTCCTTGAGGATGAGCATTGTGACTTATTTTTGTCTTTGAACCCACAGCAGTGGCACTGTACTGAGCATATGTCCAGAACTTAATATATGGCAGTAAACTGGAACTCACATGCCAGAGAGTCTTGTTCTCTGAATGGTAGAGCAGCTGCTCGCAGTGTTTCTCACTGTTTTGCAATGTAGTTGGCTATGTTCTGGGAGTTATTGATGGACTTCAGTCTTCAACAGCTGGCCAAGCCTGCTGAAAAGAGGCTTAGTCTGGGAGTTGGAGACTTGCACCCTTGCCTTGGCCCTTGTGTGGGTCATCAAACTGTAGTTGGCAATTGAGTCAACAAATGGGGGAAGAAGGTGGGTCAGGGAATGCTTCTCTAAGAAAGGGAGATTTGGCTGAGACGGAAGGAGGGGAAGGCAAAGAAGAGCCTTCTGGGCAGAGGGAACAGGCTCCCAGGTAGCAGAGAGCATGTTTGAAGAGCAGAGAGGGGTCAGAGGGGGGTCAGCTTATCCAGAACACACCATAGAATCTTGGCATTGTGAGAGGTATGGAATTTTCTAAATGTCCAATTTCTTACTGCATGCTATTTCTGACTGCTGGTTTTCCAGTTTCTTCTTGAGTACCTTCAGTGACAACAAGCTCATTCCTTTGCAAGGCAGCACATTTCACTTACAGACTGCTCTCTTTGATGGAAAGTTCTTTCTTATGTTCAACCGAAACCCCCTTCTGGGACCTCATAATACCTTCTATTTATTGAGCATGTGCTTTTGGCCCGAGAGATGACAAATTATTGCTTATCACCCATCCCACTGTTGAGGAGGCTGATGTTCAGAGGGATTAACTGTCTTGGTATGGTCACCAGCTGACAAGAGAAGGATCTGGGCTCTGCACCTCGAAGCCCACATCACTCCTGAACAGTGCTGCTGGGAGTTTACTCAGTGACCTTAGTTCCATCCGATAGGAAAATGCAGACTGGGCTGGTCCCTCCTCTGGATACCTAGCCTTCTAATGTTTGATGTTTGAGCATCCTTATTCATCTCTAAATTTAACCAACTCTTTATCATCTTTCTGGACTTTATCTTCCTGCCCGTGAAACATGGCATTTATTATTACCTGCCCTTCCTATCTGTCAGGAGTGTTGGTAAGGATAAAACAGGATAATAAAAGGGAAAGAGCTTGGGGGAAATGAGAACCACCATGCAGATCCAAGGAGAGCTGTGAGGACAATGAGAACAAAGGGGTTGTGTGGTGGGTGGGAGGTGACCAGGGCTGGGGTTTAGGAGACGTTGGTTCCAAGCTTATTCCTTACACAAATTAGCTCTGAGGGAAAATGACTTTCCCTCTCTGGGCCTTGATTTCTTTTTCTGTAAAATAATGGAGGTGATGAGCAAGATTCGTGTTTCTCACCTTTTTTAGCCTCTCTGATACACACATATCTTCTTGGGATTCTCAGAGAGCCCCAGAAACCCTTGTGCGCACAGTTGAGAATCCTGGACTAGAAGCTGCTTGGATTCTCCTTCACCTGTAAGAGTTCCTGTTTTGGCCCCTGCCTATACAGTGATTTCTAAGCATCTTTGGAGGCAGCTGTGCATATGGCCTGCTCGGGCAAGGAGTGCTGTACACCCCCACTGCTGCCTGATGGGGCGCTCGCCACCATGTTGGAGTTGCCTCTTACTCGCCCCCAGGGGCCCGCAAGTCTCTGTGAAAACATGTACCTTCCTTCTGTGCCTATGAGCAAAACAGAAGCACAGGGACAAGACCCCAATTTAAACTTGACACATTGTCATAATGTATTCTGAAGACTTTAGACAGGATTAGGTGACCTCCAGAACCATCAGAAACGTAACCAACTCTGTGGTGCTCCCTGGCCCTCTGATGGGACCACCCATTCACTCGTCTCTGGATCTGGCAGCCTGTTCTTTCCTGTGGGCTGAACTGATCACATTTTAGCATAGAATATTTATTTGGGTTTGTATATATGTTGCACGTTGCTGGGATGCCAGACGTGCCCAGACTGTTATGATTTTACAGGGATTTTCAGCCTTGTTTATTGATCTCCATGATCCTGCATATAACATTTCCCACAGAGCCAATGCATATGTAGTCATTCAATCTGCTTTAGTAAAACAATATGTTCACCAAGAATTTTTTAAAATAAATAAACCAATTGATATCTTCCAGTGAGATGACAAACCCTCTTATATGCAGAGGGGAAAGAGAGAGAAATGACTATTGGGAAGCATTTTGAAGAGATGGAGAGTTGGAAATGCAACAAATGTGGGAAATGAAGTAAGAGTTGGATGTTTCCAGCTCACACAAAGAGGAGTACCTGTCATGTAACATGAAAAATGTCAGCCACATAGATGCGTGATGCATGCATGTGCAGGAGACTGAGGAATCTGTCTAATTGGCACTGTCAGGCATCCAATATGTGTTCCCCTTTAGTTAGTCCAACTAGTGATACCCAAAATATCAGAGCAGAAAATCAGGGCCAGCCTTCCTACAGCAGAACAACTTGAGGAGTGAAATAAATACACAGATTCCTGAGCCCCAGGAGGTAGTGTCTGAAAATCCTTATTTTTTAACCACTTTCCTGAGATGACTGTCCAGGCTTGAACACCACTGCACAGAAACACTTTCTAGGATTCAGTCTGGCAAGACAACAGGTTACAAATGATACATCTTACGTGGTTCAACCTTACTAAACTGACGTGATGGTTTTTCAGAGTCCAGTGTGAGCTATAAAGCCCACAGGAAAAATGAACAGCAAGTTTCAGGCCAAGAGAATGGGATCAGTTTAAGCCATAGGAAGTCATTTCTTCAACAGCTCTTTTAATGGTAGGTGGGGAATTCGTATAACAAACTTGCCTGTCACTGCGTGACTCAAGATGCATGTGGGGAAAGAAAGGCTCGGAGAAGCAAAAGATTTGTCCTGGTGTCATGACCATCTGGTATTTAGAAAAAGCACCAGTCTGTCTTTCTAGCCTGTCCTCCAACTGGCCTGTCTGGCTCCCCACAGCTTTCTTAATAAAATCCAGACTTCTCAGGTGGACATATCCAGCCGCTGTGACCTAGCCCTTGTACTCCTTCCTCACATCCAGCCATTTCTCCCATACATCCATTCCACCAGATACTCAAGCCCCTCTCTTCCCTGCCTTCCCACAGGCTCTCCTCCACTGGAGAAGCTCTCACTTTCCCTGATCTGGCCAACTTGATCCTTCCTTCCCAACTCAGTGTCAGAATCCCGATTCTGGACATTCTCAGTCACCTGCTGATCCGGGCGTCCCTGTTCTGAGCCCCTGTGGCTCTCTGTATCACCTGTCTTCGTGCTAACTGTGTGTGGAATTCATTTGCCCATCTGCATGCTTCCTAGAGTACCAGGCTGAAGGACCAGGAATATGTCATTTGATTTAATATCTTGACTACCTACCCCTGTGCCTGGCACACAACAGGCACTCAATAAATAGCTGTAAGATAATTTAGGAATTTAGGTGACAGACCTAACTTGACAGAGGCTCACAGACTCTATGTCAGGAGGAGACCGAGGAGCTAACCCTGGTTCAATCACAGTCCAGCTGGATGACTTGGCACAAATCCCACTATGCCTCCATTTCTTCATTTTTACAATGATAGTATTCAATTAGGTCATTTTTGTCAAGACTATGAGGTCCAGTCCTCCCCTCCTCTCACTCAGCCACCAATGGTGCTTCCCTCCTTGCCCTCTGATTCACTTAGAAAGACTCTTGAGGCACTTAAGCCAACAGTTCTCAAAGTACGACCCATGGGACACCCATGATTACCTGAGATGTTTTTAGAAATCCATGAGGCCAAACTATTTTCAAAACAAAATTAAGAAATTATTTGCCTTTTTGTATGGATTTGTATTTGCACTAATGGCACATAAGCATTGATGGGTAAAACTTGGTTTATGCCTTACAGCATGAATCAAGACAGTGGCACCAAACTATTGTATTCTTTTTAAAAATCTTCGGCATATTTTTTTAGAGTCATCTTATTCTTCACTGCCACATATGTGCAGTAAAAAAGAAATGCCAGTTTCACTTTAGGTTGTTCGTTTTGAGGTAGTAAAAGTTACCAATGCTATTAAATCTTGACCCTGAGTACACATCTTTTGAATATTTTATGTAACAAAATAGGAAATACACAGGCAAATGAAGTACTTCTCCTGTATGCAGAAGTGTGAATGGTCACTTCCAGAAAAAATACTTATATGATTGAGTTATGAGCTGAATTAGCCACTTTTCCTAATGGAACATCATTTCCACTTTAAAAAAAAAAAACCTTGACAGACGAACTATGGTTACTCAGACTTGGATATTTGGCAGACATTTTCTCAAAAAAAGAACAAAGTTAGCCTGTCACTTCTAGAAAAATAACTGGCAGAAATGTGTTGCCAATGACAAAACTCAAGCTTTGAAGCAAAAACAAGAATTTGGGGGGAAAAATTGCATCTTCTACTGTGAGCTTATTAGCATCCCAATCCTTAGAGGCTGACATTGTGATGATATTGACAAATGCGATTTTGATATTGTAGAGTGAAACATGTCAACATTTGTAAGATCAGCACAACTCAGTGAGCTAATAGTTTCCAAATGACTAATGCAAGCTAGTAGAAAATGATGCTAAAAGATTTATATCCAAGTGTAACACAGATCAAGAGATTTTAATATAACAGAGTATGAAGAAGGTCATTAGTGCAGTTACAGATTCAACGTTATAACTGA